TTTTTTGGAAGGGGCTGCCTTGGCCTCTCTTTTCTTCAGTGAATTGTTTCTTATCAAAAAAAAAAAAGACCAACCTTGGGAAGCAAAGGGACAGTGGAGAAAGATGTGATCAATATCTTCGTTGCTCTTCCAACATAATCTATAAATGGAAGGCAAGATAACCCAATGTCTAAACTTTCTTTGAAGAAGGTGATGAGTGTTCAAGCTTCTGTGCGCCAAGAACCTTAAGAAAACCTTAATTTTGTTAGGAGAGTTGAATTTTCAAATGGAGGAGACGAAGGGAGAATTTTTAGGGAAGGAGCAGCATCGACAAGCTTCAAAAAGGCATATTTAGTGGATAACACACCATCTTTCTCCAAAGACCAGCAAGCTTTATCTCTACCATCTCCTAAGTGCACAATATCTAGCAAACGAACTAAGCTCAACCAACCATCTAATTATCTGTCAAAAAGGCCTCTGTGCAAGTCCCAATATCTTGCACTTTAATTCCAACACTCAGCTTTTCTGAAAACGGGTGAAGTTATTTCTTTGTTTCCTGAAAGTAAAAATTTCCTTTTGGATCGGTGTCTTTTTATAGATCTCATTGTCTTTTCAGCCATTTTTTGTGTACTCCCCATTTTTTATAATGAAATTCTTAGTGTCTCTTATCAGAAAACGATGTCTTGGTTGGGTTTGATTGAGAAAATTGATACGGTTTGTGTGGTTACAGGAGCGGATAAGATAGCATGGTCTTTGGAATCCACCAAATCAAATTTTCTCTGTCTCACTAATTCAAACCAGAAGTTGACTTCCCCTTTAATCAAAGCAATATGGCAATTTAATATCCCGAAAAAGTCGAAAGTTATTCTTTGTACAGAAGTCTCATCACACATGAAAGGTTACAGAAAAAATTTAATGGGTGGCCCATTTCTCCTGCGGTGTGTTCCTTTGCCTCCAACATGAAGAAACTTCGGATCATTTATTCCTTCACTGTAAATTCACCCCAATAGGCTGAGAGTTTTTGCTTAAAACTTTTTATATTAATTGTTGTAAGTCCAAGTCGATTGATGGGTGGCTCAATGAAGTGTTGTTCGGGTGGCTTTTAAAGGGTAAAGCTGAGACGTTATGGAGGTGTGATGTTAGTGCTTTTTTTGTGGATGGTGTGGAAGGAACGGGACAATGGAATTTTTGAAGGAACTGCCTCTAATTTTAACAGGTTCATATATGGTGTACAACTTACGACATCTCTTTGGTGCTTTAAACACAAGGATTTTTTTGAATCCTCGATTCTACAGGATTGGAAAGTGATAATGTATTAGTTTCTGTTGAGAAGGGGCTCTCTCATCCCTCTACCCTTAGGTTGTCTCGTCTTTGTTAATATAAATGGATACCATTCTTTCTCCTTCCCAGGAGCATCCTTTGGTAGTCAAAAAAGCTTCTTGCACCGATAATAAAAGTTTTTTAAAAATATTTTGAAGATGTAGGCCTTACCCTAGTTACAATCACTAATACTTAGGCTTTAATTGTAGGCAACATGTTTTTGGTTGGTTCCGCTTTGCAGTTTTGAAGGTTGAGATATTATAGTTTTCTTGTCTTCTCTTGGTGGAGGGAGGTTTCAGATTCTTTACTTATCTTCTTTACTTCTTCGGGCGTTCAGTTTGTGTTAAGTGATTGTTTTGGCTTCCTCCTCTGGTTTGTGTTAAGTAAGCTGCTACCTCTGTTAGAGGAAAGAAAATTGAAGAAAAGAAAAACTCTGAAAAATCTCCATTTTTGGTCCATCATACATTAACGAAGTTTCTCTTTTCCTTTTGAGGGTAAGAAGCATTTCACTAAGATACTTCTTTATCTTTCCTGGGAAATGAAAAATGAAAATTTGTAGGCAAAGCAAAGGTCTTTGCCTCTTTTTTGTCTTTCAGCCGCTACCTCGAACTATGTGGTTGGGTAATTATAAGTTAGCTATGACATTTGGACTTGGTTTTTGTTAATGCAAATTTACTATTGATCTGCTTTTCTGCAGCTCAGCAGCCTCGATCATGCAGGAAAGAGACAATGAAGTCCCAACTGCTGAAGCTGTTGCTTTGTCTTTGAATAGCTCACAATCCCTGTCTCGAAGAACCAAGTCACAGAGAGGTGACAGTCAGTTTGGCATTCATGTGGCTGGATCATTTAGAACAGGTTCTGTTGATGATGGGTAAGAGTTACGAACTTCCTTCTTCTTTTCTTTATTTCTTTCTTTCTCTTCCTCATCTGTAGGTACTGCTTTACCTTCTCAATCTAGAGTACTGTTCTTTCCCCCCTGTCTCTATATAGTTACCTATAATTTATTTGTCCATTTTGTACATTTGGTCGTTTCTCAAAGTTCTTGATGTAGCCAATTTTGATGGCTACCATGTGTATGAATAATGTGAAAAATTACGTTTTGTCATTGATTTCTTGAGCTTGAACAAATTTTTGGTCGTCCTTGTTCAGTACAGTGTTGTATTTACAATCAATTTGTTCTAGTGGACCACACTATTATTATTATTTTCTTGAAAGGTTACATTAAAGGCCAGCAGGTTACATTATTATTAAGAAATGCTTTTTATGTGATATGCAAACAATATCTCCTGAACTATTAGTTGTAAAGACTGTGGAGACCCTGCTCTCTCGTCTTTTTCTTAATTAAATGTTGCTGATGTTTGTGAGGGAATAATGTTATTTTAATTATTGTTGTCTCATCTTGCTTACCCTTTAAATTATTTCAATATCTGTGCCTTTATTTATTTCCAGGTCATCTTTTGATGGCCACGAGGAAGGTAGTATTTTGGAATCAAATGATGAAGCTGTCTCAGAAGGCCAGTCAAAGGACGTGAAGCCGACCACACGGCAATTGCCAACATGGCTTTCAAATTCCATTCCAGATGAATTTCTAGTAGGAAATATTTTTTATGGTCTTATAGTTTGATTCTATAACTTTTCCCTAGATTTCGTGGTTGAGTTTATATTAATTTTTGGACGTAGGAAACAGTAAAGAAGCTCGATGCTCCGCTTCATGTGAAGTATTTGCAGACCATGATTGAATGTCTGTGTATGCTCGGCAAAGTTGCTGCTGCTGGTGCTATGATATGGTTTGCTCCTTGTCAATGTTTGTTTTCACTTGAAATTAATGCTTTTGCCCTGGAAGATTTTGTAAGGAATCTTATAATTGCTATTAATATATGTCTTATTTGTTACTGACCTCTTTTTAACTTTTGCATACTTGATGCTTCCTAGGAATATCCATCCTCAATTGCCTAGAGAACATTCTGCATAGAACGTTTGGAACGTTGTCAGATTCTTGAGTGTCCTTTTGTTTATTCCATCCAAATTCCTTTGTAATAAGACAACCTATTTTAAAAAGGAGTATCTACTCAAAACACATCTATGCAATTGTAAGACCCTATGTATGAGAGTTGACTTCTGCTAGTGTCTAAAGGTCAAGAATAGGAGAATTAATGAGAGAACTGACAAGGTTATAACTATAATAGTTCTAAGGTAGCAACAAATATTCTTGTCAGAAAAATTATGCCGGTAAAAAGTCATAAGAATGTGGCACCATCTTGGATAGATGCTCAATGAAATAGGAATATTTGTGGAGAGAGTATTTCACTATCTTGATCATCTTCTTTGGAACTGCCACTTTGCCTACTTGGTTCAGAACAGTTTTTTTGGTGAGCTTGGTTTCAGCCTCACTCACCCCAAAGTTGGTAGGGCATTGGCAGATTAGCTGCTCTCTAGTCCGCCCTTTCGTGATAAGGGGCGTTTTCTTTGATTTGCTGGAGTTTGTTTTATTTTATGGGGTTTGTGGATAGAGAAACAATGAAATTTTTAGAGGGGTGGAGAGTTCTTGATAGGAGGTTTGGTATCTCATTAGATTTCATGTTTCTCTTTAGGACTTAGTAGTTAAAGACTTTTTATCCGTTAGGTGAGGTCTTATTTTGTTATATTGGAGCCCCTTCCTCCAGGTCAACTCCTTTTTCTTGGGTTGTTTTTTGTATGTTCTTGTGTATTCTTTCATTTTTATTTTATCTCAATGAAAGTCTGGTACCTTTTTTTTTAAGACAACCTATTTAGTTTACCTCCAATTGGGAGGCATTTTGTTATTCCTTTGGCTTGAATTTTGTTTGACATCTTACTTTATTCCTTTTTGTATCAGGAATTTTGAATCAATAGCTTCCTGTTCCTAGTTACTTATATTTAAAAAAGAAAAGAAAAGAAAAAAAAAGTGGTGATATATTGATTCATTAGAATTTTCCCCGTAAATGATTGTGTAAATTATTCTAGGATTCTGTAAATTATTTATCCTGTCTCCTATTATTGCTAACTGGAGAGCTTCTAACAATCTCTTACAGGATTTGTTTATTGACTTGTCCCGTGTCCTCTTGTCTTGGTTTTAGTTAGTTTTGGTTAATATAATTTCTTATTTTTGATGTAATTATCTAATTGGCTTCCCTTATTTATTTACTTATTTGACAGCTAGTATAATTAGGCACTACATGTCAGGATATTGACAATTATCATCATTAGTGCGGGCAAGCACATTTTTCTTTTAAAAAGTAGGGATATAATTTCTGCACGAGAGAATCTTGAACTTGTAAAAATTGCTTCAGATGTATCATTTAGATGAATGTTTATTTTGCTCGCTCTTGCTCTTTCCAGAGTTCCATTTCCCAGTATCTTAATCTCGTAGAAATTGCTTTCAATCTATTACTTCAAGGGATAGTTTTTCTCTCTCTTTTATACTCTTTTTTTTCAGAGCTCTTTTGTTTATCATTATTGGTTTTATATATTTTTTTTACATGATTTAATTTATGTACCTGCAAAGGAACAAAATATATTCTGTATGATCTCAATTGATTTGATCTATCAACGTCTTCAATATTTTTTTTTTCTCAGCCAAAGATTGCGGCCAACTATCCATGAGATAATAACTTCCCAAATCAAAGCTTATGCAGAACAAAAAAATTCTTCGAGGTTAGGCTTTGGTCAGGCTGTTCGATCTGAGACTGCTGCTCATTTTATGAAGGGACAGTCAGAAAGTTTACATGTACCAAAACAGAAGGGCCGGAATGGAATTCCACTGGCTGGGACATTGGTTGCAGTAAGCCCTGTCTCACCTGTGATGGCGCCCATGGGAAAGGCACAGACTTCTGCTAGAGATCTTCTTGATTCTGTTTTGGAAGCCGTTGTTCGTATATTTGGTCAGAATTTTTCATTTTTCATATCTTTTTATTTTTCTTTTCCATAAAATGCTTAATTTTAATTGCCAATAGTGATCAAGCAGAGAATCATGTTATTGTTGGGGAGCTTTTGGAATCAAAATCCTCACGACAAACAGACATGAATACACCAAAGTCCATGCCAACTGATGATAGTTGGAACCCAGACTCGGAAGGATCTCAAGTTACAGGAGGTTATACTATTGGCTTTGCCTTGACAGTTTTGCAGGTAATCGTCTAATTGCTTCTTTTATTTATTTATTTATTATTATTATTATTTTTAATCATCATATGGCATTTTTAGTAAAAATGTTGGTATATATCTTATGTATGGAATTTGGTTGTTTAGATCATTTAGTTAGTTTTGGTTTAGGAAGTTGGGAGATTTTCTTTTTTTACCAGCCATTGGTGGCTTACTTTTTGTTAGCTGGCTAATATAGAACTCTCAACTTTAAAGGGTAGTGAAGCACATGTGGATGGGTGTTTATATCTCTAAACAAAGTTGGTATTTGTTTCATCCTATGCAACAGAGTGAATGCCAGCAACTAGTTTGTGAGATTCTGCGAGCAACTCCTGAAGCAGCATCAGCTGATGCTGCTGTACAAACTGCTAGGCTTGCGAATAAGGTGCCCTCCACAGAAAAGAGGCATGTATTTAATTGATCTTCTTTACATTCTCAGCATGTTTTGGAATCTTTTTCTTTTTTTTTGGTATATATATCTATCTTCATTTGACTACTACAAATATTTTGTACTTTATCTTCATTTATCCTTCAGTATATTTACTTAACCTTCTTCATCAACCTTCAGCTTATTTTATTTTACTTATTTCTTCTTTATTGTCATTTTTCTAAATTTTTTTGCTTATTTTCTCTGGTCTTCTGGAGTATAATTTGACGTCTGGAGTTGGCTTCAGAGTTATAAGTTCTTGCTAGGTTCTAGGGTATTTTATAACATGTCAATCTTGGTTATGTTTCTTTTTACTGGTTTTGTAGTTGGTACGATATTCATACTTTTAAGGTGTGAGAATGATATGCCAATTAAATTTCTCTTGTTTTACTTATTTTTCTTGAATATTTATTGTCATTCTCATGCAAATGATCTGCAGAGATGGGGCAGAAGATGGTCTCACCTTTGCTTTTCGTTTCACAGATGCTACTATATCTGTTCCTAACCAAGGTGGGTATAGATATTACTACACGGATGACAATTTCTACTGATGCCAAGAACTCTAATTCGTTCAGTTCATGTTTTAGGGCTGATGACAATTCTATATGGTATTTTTATGCTAAGTGGTGTCAATTGGAGAACCGTTTTATAATTTCTCTTGCCATTTGAATGTGGAGATGTGCTCTTTTGTATATTTATTTTCTTTAATATTATTTTTCTTGTGCGAAAAAGTATAAAACATTTTGTAGTTAAATGATGGTAGTTTTTATTGATAACAAAAGCGCATAATTGTTTCTTGGTTGTATTGTGAGTGTTTAGTATATGGCATAATAATATCGACAACATTTTTCTTCTCTCACTCTCCATATTTTGATAGAAAACAAATAAATTTCATTAACAGTACATATTACAAACAAGGGGAACAAACCAGAATCCCAAGCCAAGGAAAATTCCAACCAGAATAAAAATTCCAATAAAAATTATAGAATTCAATTCCCCTTCTTTGTTTCTATCCTATTTTCTTTCATTCCCTCTGATAAGAAACTGAAAAAAATATATTCAGAAGAAGGGAGAAAGGAACAATTCCGTGGAACATTCTTGATTGATTATGTAGTTGCCAGAATGGCTAATAACAGCCTTGTGCTTTGGAGCTAGATTCTCTTTGGATACCTTTTATAGATATTTATTATATACAGTTACTATTTCCATGTTGTGTGTGTTTTCACTTCTTCAATTTCTCTATTCCTCAGCATATCTGAAAATTTTTCCATTTTGTTTAATTATTTAAAGGTGTGGATCTCATTCGCCATGGATGGAGTAGGAAGGGCCCCAGTGCATCACAAGAAGGCTATGGATCAGCAGCTGTCTTGCCTGAACAGGGCATTTATTTGGCAGCAGCCATATATCGGCCAGTTCTTCAGGTTTCTGACTGTTACATATGCAGACAATCAAATATGAACAAGCAAGTCCATAGTGGGTTTCTGTCCTGACATTCTGATGTCTTCTGCAGTTCACAGATACAATTGCTAAAATGCTTCCAAAAAAGTATTCACAGCTCGGGTAAGTTTTAAGATGTAGAAAACCTAATCATGTGCTTATACGAAGACCTACTTGAAAGGAATCCCCACATAGTTACTTTCTGTCTATTCTGCACATGTGAGCATATGATGGAGAGCTTGGTAGAGTTACAGGATCAAATATTGATTGTAGAGAGCATAGCCATGTTGTAGAGCAAGAGATGAAAATTTATAACAACTTATTCTGCAGCATCCATTAGTTGCTCTCTTTATCGTGTGTGCAAGTGCTTTTGTATATATGCATGCATGATAATAAGTAAGCAGATATTACTAGCGAACAATATGATAGTTAAAGTGTAATATTTATATTTATTTGACAAAAGAAATTAGTATTCATGACTTATATTTTCTTCATCCAAATATATTATCTTCAGAATCCTTTTTATTATCTTTTTTCTGCATTATTATTGGTTTTTGTTATTTAATTCTTAAAGTTACAGGAACGATGGACTACTTCCTTTTCTGGAGAACTTTGTGAAGGACCACTTTTTGCCTACCATGTTTGTGGACTACCGGAAAAGTGTACAACAAGCTATTTCAAGCAAGTTCTCTCATCTCTTAGCTTCACGTTCTAGAAACTATTGGATGATTGCAACTTGAATTAAGTTTCAGACATTTGTTATATGAAATCATTCATTGAAAAAATGAAATACCCCAAATTAAAGGGCAAGGAGTTTTATGGACATGAATTAGATTTATCTTACATGCATCAGATGTTCAGAATTCAAGTCCCTACTGCTTTTTCCTGGTGATATAAATGATTTTGGTAGGAAATACAAAAATACATGCAAGTGTCACAGCCACCAAAGACTTTTTAAGAAAAATGGAAGTACAGGAGTCGCATCTTGTGTGTCTAGGGAGAATAGGACAAAGCCACCGCATAATCAATGCAAAACCTCAAAAAGTTAACCCCCATTTGTTTATAAATTTTAAAAAACAAGCATATTACAAAGGAAAGCAGAAAATGAGGCATAGAGTGAAGCATTGTAGAGGTTTATCCAAGCCATTTCTGTTTACTGCAGCATGGGGAATAGATGGAGTTCCTATGAGATTAAAGTTGCGACAAATTGAATTGTGCCAACCACGAAAATAATATCCTAAAGGCGATTCTATAGTTTTCCAATTGTTTTCATTAACTTTCTCCATTGAGTCTTTTGATTGATATGACATAATAATATCTGCCATAAGAGGATATGGGTTTTTATTTGGCATAAAATAAAGAGAACAAATGTAGAGTTGTATGGAGTTAATTTTGTAAAAGAAGGAAAAACCTTGCCTGCATATTCAGTTTGATACTTTTATATAAGATTGTCAGTTGTTTGTGCCCTATGATACTTCTGGTGAACTATATTTCTAAATTTAAGATCCCCTTGTAGGTCCTGCTGCATTTCGCCCAAGGGCCCATGCTGCTGCAATTTATAATTCATCTGTTGAGAGGGGTCGACCAGTCTTACAGGGTCTATTGGCTATTGATTTCCTTGAGCGAGAGGTAAGTCCATATTTCTCCGATGGAGAAGTGGACTTCCCTCTGCATTATTATTTCACTTTTGTTGTATTTGATAGTTTGATATTGGACGCTGATGTTTGGCTTTTAAAATTTCTGATTTGGACTTGCCAAATTGTTTTAGGTTGTTGGTTGGGCTCAAGCCATGCCCAAGTTTTCTAGTGACGTTGTGAAGTATGTACAAACTTTCTTGGAGCGAACGTATGAAAGGTGTCGAACATCATATATGGAGGCACGTGTTTTTGTTCCTTGTCTGCTGCTCTATTTTCTCCTCAGTTGGAATATGCTTATACTTATGCTATCCTTCTAATTTTAAATTATTTTTATTGGTTAGTGTGTTCACTTTTCTTCTTGTTCATTATTTGTTAGGTTTGAACCATGAAGTATTATACTTGATAAATGTTTCTCAATTTCTCGTACAAACTCAAAACAATAGAATACTTGTTTTGTACTTTTTTATACAAACAGACTCCGGATTAATTAATGGAGGAGTAGGTTGGAGGCGAGGTTATTTTTATTTTGTAGTTGTGGACAAGATTTGTTCAAGAATACTAAAATAAGATTTTTTTTTTTATAAAGAACACTTGAAACAGAAAGATCAACAAAGGCAAACCTCGCAAGAAAAGACATATGATTAGGTAAATGCTGACAATTCTGACTCAATGTGGCTTTTGCTTTACTTGCATACCACATGATATAAAAACCAAATTAATAGTTAAATAAGATCAATCGAGAACCAATGAGTGCTTTTTTCAAGCCAAAGTATAAAAGTTGTTGGAGCAGCATATTTCTCTGATCATATGTTCCTGGAAACCTAACAAATCTTTCGGGAATGTTCATTTCCTTGAGACAAATCGTTGATGGATTCCAAGGAAATTAATTATGGTAATAAGCAATAGAAATATTCGGGATGCAGCCCTATTTGGCCTCTATGTCAAGAGCTTTGTGCAAGTCTTGTTCTCTTTTTATGGGGGATATTGATTTATTTTTTGCCTTCAATCTCTATCCATGTCATAGTGAAAGTTTTAAGTCAGTACTGATGCTTTTTTTTTTTGGTGGAAGGTTCCTTGTTGAGTCGATTTTACAATTACACTGTAGCACACTTCTTTTTTCAAATTACTTTGTATCACTCAAAAGAGTTGTTATAATTCCAGGCAGTTCTCGAAAAGCAGAGTTATATGCTTATTGGGAGACACGATATTGAGAAATTGTTGAGACTTGATCCAGCTAGTTCTTGGTTATCAAATCTTAGCAGCGGGTCAAACCTGGAAAATGATTATTCTAATGCTGAAACTGTCGAGATCGAGTTAGAGCTCTCCAATTTATTATTAAACTTACCACCAATAAAGCAGGTTTGCACATAATATGCTTGTTATTACAACTAAGTTTTGAGTTCAGACTTTGAATATTAAAGTTGGTAGTTCGTCTCCTTCCCTTCTAGAGAGAACATAAAAAATAGAATGAAGCTTACATGTTTTGTAAACCTGTTTAGGACTATCTTATCCGTGATGATAACAAACTAATTTTGCTGGCATCACTCAGTGATTCACTGGAATTTGTTGCCGACTCTATTGACAAGTAAGCATCTGGTTGTACATGCATGTTTCTTTCTTTCTTTCTTTTTTTATTTTTTTTATTTTTGTTGTTTTTTTGAAGCACTTTTTTCTTGGTAGACTTTGATTGATGCAAATTTAGGCTTAAATAATTTAGTAGTAGTCGTTGAAGCATCACATAGGGGACCTAGTTCTGTGTTCCAACAAAAGAGTTGGGGAGTGTCACATAGAAGCCTAACATTACATTCACAGATCTGAGTGGCTTATATGTATCTTCCTCAATGGTTATTTCGTGGCAATCGATGAGATTAACACCCATTTTGGTGCTTGTGAATCAGAACTTTTTAGGAGAATCTGCAATTTAATATCACACTACAACTTAAATTTGTTGCTTGATACCATTTATCACTCGACGGGTGCCTTTAGGAAAGTAGGAACGTGTTAACATTGAAGATTATAGAGAGGCCCTTTTTTTCTTCCTGAAACAAAAGCAGAGTAAGACATAATAAAATGGGAAAATGGAAAATGAAGAAATGTGTACTGATAACAAGTGAAAGAATGTAGAACAATGGACTCTTAAGGATTAAATTTATAGGTTTTAAAATCAGAAGTTTCTCCTTCAATTCATTCCAACTCTTAAAACCTCCCCCAGTCTCAACCCACCATTACCATGACAGTGCGTCTTCATCAAAGCTCACCACCAATATTAAACTACTTTGATTCTGTCAGGAAGTCAAGCTTGAAGTGCCTCTCAACCATGAACGACCACGGGTCAGGGTTTTATTCATTGAAGACATGTATTTCCATTTTTTTAAATTTCTTTGGTCGAACTGTTCCAAATTTCCAGCAAGTTTATTTAACTCCCCCTCCTTCATCACCAAGGCTTCTATGTATTCTAGAGTTCTTCCATTCACTGTCTGATCATCTGTATCCTCTCCCTGAGACACCTCATGCATCTTGGTATGTTGCTCAGTAATTATGGCCGATAACGCCTTCTTAGTTTCCTCTAGTGACGTAATCACTTGCCATGTGCTCCATCAACCTTCCTAATCCTACAAGCCTTTGCAACTCCTTCATTTCCTTCTCTGTCACCTTCACTTGCTCTTTCGCCATTTTCCCTCTTTTCCCCAGATCACGATGTACTTGGTATCAAGTTCACTATTGCAATATACAAATGAAAAAGATCTACAAGCTCTCAATTACAAAGACTCCACCAATTCGAGGCAGCCAATTTCTCTCCTAAATACTCTCTCCTCTCGCTCACCAATTGCCTATCCCACTCCCCATAAAATTTACATCAACGAAACCTGGGAGAGGAAATTAATCTACAAGCAACTCCCCTGCTTGCCAATGGCCAAATACAGGCTTAGAACTAAAACCGTGTTCGTTTCCCTTTTAATCCCTTCTCTCATAAACCTTTACGATCGGGGGCCTAACAATATTCTAGAGATCTTAACAACCATATCTTCAGCTTCGTATTCCCATCAACATGAGTTGCTCAATTACAATCCATTCTCTACACGAGCAAGTTTGGGAGAATATATGATGGATTTCATTGAAACTTGGACTCCATATCAATATTTGGATAACTTGGAGTGGATGATGACATGCTGAAGTGGGTAGCACACTTAAGATCAATGACAATATATGCTGACTATTCTTTCCTTCTTTGGGAAAGTGCTAATTGTATTTTCTTCATTATTAACGATTGTAGACGCACATGTTGAAGAGCTTGGTGCATTTAGTGATATGAATATGATAATCATATGCTGTAATTCTAAATGAACAATTTTTTGTTTGCAAACAGGTTAGGACAAACAACTTTGAAACCTTCATATCAAGCAGAAGTTAGTGGCCGGCCCCATCATACCCGAAGTCACAGTGCATTTACTCGGGATCTGGCATCATTTGCAGAGGAGTATAGAAAATTATCTATTGACTGCCTCAAGGTTTTGCGTGTTGAGATGCAACTTGAGACGCTTTTCCATTTACAGGTTGGAAAGTGTGAATTGTCAATAATTGTGGAGTTTGCTTGATGGGCAAAGTTTAACAAATTTTTTGTATTATTATTGAAACAGGAAATGACAACTAGGGAATATATGGAGAACCAGGATGCTGAAGAGCCAGATGACTTCATTATTTCCCTCACCGCACAGGTAAGTTCACTTGATTATTGCCTAAGCAATAACCATATTGTTTTCCCAGTTCAGGATGATTCTTTATTGGATAGTTTAATTGAACTGATTACGTAATTTCATAAAAAAAATAATTACTGAATCTCTATGGTCAATCTTTTTTCTTATTTTTATTTTTATTTTTTATTCAAAACAGTCTCGTTGATGATATGGAATTACAAAAAGGGGTAAAACAATCTCTATGGTCAAATATTAATTAAAGTCTTGGCTTGCTCTCTCAAATGATGCTAGCCTCATGACATATACTCTAGTGGGCACCCATTTGACAAGGGAAAAAAATTCTCTGGATGCATTTTGTTTGTGGTTTCTTTTGGACTATCTGGGTAAAAAGGAATGGTAGGATTTTCCATGACAAGGAACTCCCACTTGATCGAGTTTTCGAATCTTTAATTTTCTTGGTCATCTCTTGGTGTAAACGTTCCCCCCTCTTAGCATCTCCTATTTGATATCCAATTGGAGAGCCTTTTGGTAACTCTCTCAGAACGGGTTGTATTGCACCTGCTGTAATTCAAATTTTATATTATTAATGAAATTGTTTCTTCTAAAAAAAATTAAACTCTTGGCTTCCTTAACAGAATATGTTTTTTCTTCTTGAACATCATGAGAACTTTCAGTACTTGAAAGTAGTAGATTCTTGAATTTTTCTAATTTAGTCAGGATAGCTTTTAAAATGAATTTTTGAGGGAAGTATTTGCTAATAATCCACATATACTCTCTAAACCCAAACCCCAAATGTATATTATGCATATCCTGGGTGAAAGTGCGAGGGAAGATCTGCATCTCTTTCTTATTCATCTATTTTCCAAATATAATATATTTGATTGCTGTTCTTTTTTCTTTATATTTTACTTCATTTTATGTTTATTCATTTAAAAAAGAACTCACATACTTTCTATTCTTACCTGTAGATAACACGTAGAGACGAGGAAATGGCACCTTTTATTTCAGGACTCAGGCGGAATTACATATTTGGCGGAATCAGTGCTAGTGCAGCAAATGCATTTATTAAGGTCCATATTTTCATTATGTTTTCATTACCTTCAGATTCTTGGGGAGTTATCATTAGCTAACTTTTAGATTTTAGCTTTTTATTTAAATTTACACCTCGGTTGAGCCTCTCACTTGTAAGAATGTATGTTTAGGCGGTAGCTGACATCAAGTCTATCAATCTCTTTGGCGTCCAGCAGATATGTCGGAATTCAATTGCATTAGAACAGGTATATCATATACAATGCATCTGTTCTGGAATGAGTGAGATAGCCTGAAAATCATTATGTTTGGAGTGGTTTGGAACATTTAACCAAAGGTCGCATAATATTCTAATTCATGCTTTTCAATGGTTTGGCACATTTAGTTACCGTTGGTTTAGCCATTTCATCTCAACACAACATTGCCTTAATCACAGCTTAAGAAGCGATAACTGATAATGTGCTGAAGGATCAATAAGCTGGATTTTTTTTTTTTTAATAAGAAAAAATTCCATTGATGTATGAGATTTATAAAAGAGAGGAAAAAATCAACCCGTCCAGAGGAGTTATCAGAAACTTCCCCCATTGCACGAAAGTGTAGCGTAACTATAAGACTGGAAGAGCTGTGACATTTTGCACCAAACTATTGCAACGTAGACAGTATTTTCATTTTCAAAAAATCTATCATATGCTTGTTCCTTTGAAGATTCTTTGATTCCTTTCGATCTATGTAGCCCATAAATAATCTCTATTCTTTCCGCTTCACACATTTCCTTTATTTAGTTCTCTGGTGTTACAGAGTCCCATTTCTATTAGCTTGACTTTAAAATGAGCCAAGATTTGGGGATTTTATGCGACCTTTGCTTATAAATTGCTCTTAGTGGAAACCGATACACTGAGTAATCAGTTAAAATAATCTTAGTTGGATTATATTTGTCTAATCTCAAAGCCATCGCTATTAAATATATGAGAAAGGCGTACAACTACATTGTGAGAATGTTTATAACGGTTTAATCTATCTTGTGTTCTAATTTACAGGCCTTAGCAGCAATTCCTTCAGTTAACAGCGAGTTAGTACAGCAGAGATTAGATCGTGTGCGTACTTACTATGAATTGTTAAACATGCCATTTGAGGTAAGTTGTTTATTTTAATTATCAAAATCTGATGATCGAACGTTTAATTATGTTGTACTGACCATGGCAAATATTTTTATTCTGCAGGCCTTGCTTGCCTTTATCATGGAGCACGAGCACTTGTTTACTGCAGCAGAGTGAGTTCTTAACACAACTTCTCTGCATTCTGCTTAACGAGGGTGTTCTGGTGAAACTGTTGATCCTAAACAGTGGATGTATGTTCTTTTCATAGGTATGCCAATCTTCTCAAGGTCCATGTTCCAGGAAGGGAGATTCCAGCCGATGCACACCATCGTATATCAGAGGTCTTATCCCGTTAAGATCCCATCCAACGCACAAGATCACATATCGGAGATCTTATCCCATTAATTTCCTGAATGCTTTGAATGTCTATGCTCATGTCGTGCCAACAAGGATTCCAGTTCAAGCATATAGCTCGGTAGATTTTGAAGTGGGGCGAGTGGAAACCGAACGATGCTTCCTTCAATGGAGGAGGTTGCTATCCTAAATTCATCATATGCGGTAAATTTTATCACTTCGTTTGTGGCGGTGTTCTAAATTCTTGTGCAGAATCAATTTTGCTTCCTTTTTCAATTTGTCAATGCTCCTTGGTAACTTCAGTTCAGGTTGAGAATTATTAAAAAAAATTTATGTACATGTACTTTAGAAATGTTTTCTTGTATAAAATTATATTAATTTTTTCTTCTACACTAATTTCAGTATCAATGTAGAATTTTTAAACTTGGGTTATGATCAGGTACATAATGAAAAAAGATGGAGTCTATTTTCCTCATTTCAATTCTTGGATGAAAAAGATTGACTTTTTTAAGTTTTTCAGTTCCAAATGTATAGATTGTATTTTCGGTGAGTTTAATGTTTGCTGGATCCAGACCTTAGGGTGAACTCAGGTGTCCCGGTTATATAGTAAAGCTCCGACTCCTAGTTATAAAAAAATTGTATAAATTGTATTTTCTATAATCTTGTAGACCACTAGTTGGTGTTGTGAGTGGAAGGTCTCATAGAGAGGAGAATAATTAGAGAATTTTTTATTTTTTATTTTATTTTTACAAAATATGGGGATGGAAATTGAAATTCTCGTCTTTCAAAAAGGTTGGTTATTTCTAAACTAGTTGGGTCATGTTCTGGTTTGTTTGGTTTACTTTTTTAATGAATATGTTTTTCTATTCATTATCTTTTTTTTTTATAAATTTTAAAAATAACTATATATATATATTTATCATTTCTATAACTAATTTAAATCAATCATGTTATAGCCAGTCAACTTTTTTTCTTTGCAGTACGCTAAAACTTTGTTTCAATTTAAGACTCTGGACTTTAAAAAATCTCAATTGAAATTAACACAGATCAAGACTTGAAAGATGTGCATAAATGGCATGCGGAGAATGTCCCTTTTTTTCCATTTTAAAAACTTATTTTCAGTTTATTTTGAAAAAATTGGCTCACTTACTCTTTAATAATAATTTGGAATAATTTAATTATTTTTTATCACCTGAGGATCGAGGGAGGGTTTAAACTAGATTCACACATTTTTTAATAAATTATTGATATTTTAATTGTCTAATGAGTCTCCCATTTTATTTTTTTTAATTCACAGTTCTATTAAACACAAAATTAAAAATATAGTTCTATTAAATACAAAATTTAAAAGTTTTTTTTTTGAAGTTTCGGAATTTTAAAAAATGTCAAATCAATCATAACATAAAGTCCAAGACACAAAATTAAAATTGAAAGTTTATAGATTTATTACAACACAATCACAAACTAAACTTATAATTTAACTAGAATATTTAGATCCAATATTGCATTACAAGTATAGCTACTACATTAATAATTCACCAGTAGATGTTTTTAATACCTCCCACAAATGGGGTGCTGTCAAATAGAAAATTTGAGCACAAGTTGTAATTAAGAGTGGAAATTAAAATTCTTTACATCTCACCATAGTTTTATCCTTATGGAAACAATTAGCCCTGTTAAAACTCGGGATCTTGCATTTTTCCTTTTTCTTTTCTTGGTCAAAACAGAATGCACAGACAAGGAATTTATGAGATTTCAAAACATTCTTCAGTCCTGTACATCTTGCTCTCTTCTCTTCTCTCCTCTATCTAAGCTTGAAATGTGCTGTTTAGCCTCAGCATCTTCTTCGCTAAGCTGCGGATATCGTCTCTATTCGATTCGCACGATATTCGCTCCAACTCTTTCGCCCCTCCACTCGATACAAAATCTGCTGCATTTTCCTCTGCCAATACATTTAGTTTGTTAGCTGTGGATAACCTATAAAAACTACAGTATTACATAGGAACATATTGGGATTCATGTTGGATTTCACTCAGTTGAGAGGAAACTATTTAGTAGCTACTAAATTCAGTTGCGTTTCAAAATCAGTGCCATACCAAACCAAAGAACTGACGCAAGGCATAGAATGCCAGAAGGATCTGTTGTTAGACTTAATTTTGGGGAGTGAACTCGTCAAAAGTTGATGATTCTACCAGGTCGATATGATATGGTACGGAGAGTAACTTTAACGAACTCAAAAAAACTTGAAGAGGCAAAGTGGAGTGGCATATATCAAACAAGGCTGGGCTAGAAAGAATTTGTTTGGCAGCCTTATATCTAGAATCGAGCTCTTTATTCTTCACAAAAATAACATTTAAGTGCTAGGTGTCAATTTTTTAATAGGGGTTAGGAGGAGAAGATACCTACGAACTACACCTAAATATTATTCTAACAATAAATGATCCAAAATTTCAGACTGACCAGATACCGCAATTTGAGTGATTAAGAATCTCTATAAGTGCCTAATTATGTCTTACCATTTTGCGCTAAATGACAGAGGGCAAGCTCAATATGGCGCCGAGTTGATGCAGAACTAGTATGAGAATTGTTGATTAACCATGTAAGGGCGCCATCCTCCATTAGAAGAGAACGGCCTTTCTTGCGTCCTGCAACAAGGGGAAATTGGTGAAAATGCGGATGCAGTTTCTGAACAATACAAATTACATAAGCAAAAATATATGGTAAACCTTGAACGATTCCCCTTGATTCACACTTGGCAAAATTTGCCATTCCCCTTGCAACTTGCGCAATAACATCGTTACTTCCAGATCTAACCATTTCCAGAAGTGCCCTGATACCACCGTCGTCCTTTAGCATCTTGTGCAACTTTTCTGTTCGCGAAAATTTCAGTATAAAAAATTATGAATCTCTTTCATGGTATCCTGGAAAATTCTCTATTAGAGGACTGCTCCACGAAAGAAAAAGTGGCCTATAGTATCAGGATAATTATTAAGAATTCAGAATATTTCCAAACATGATTCTCAGTTCTAAAAGTTGGACAAGGTGGAGCATTGTCACCTCGAGCTTACCATTTCCACATAAATTAGCAAGGGCACCAGCAACCATGCGAAGGGTTTGAGGATCGTCTGTTCTGGATGCTGTTCTTGCCAGTAGCTGGCCACCTCCTTTGTTCACTATTACGATTTGATTCCTTTCTGAGTAAAGTCCACAACGCCACCCCACAAAAAAGTTGAAAATTGTTAAGTATGAGTGTATGACTGCATTTTATGTGTAGAGATCAATAAGGATTAGTGTTTATGTTACATTAAGTTCTCGTTAACATCACAAAGTTATACCGGATCACAAGGATATAAAGGAAGCTGAGGGACAAAAAATTCTTCCAATTGCATCAATCGGAAGAAGAATTGCAAATTTTTTTTAATTTATTCATTTAAAAAATAAGGGGAAAAAAGGTGAAAGGGAGCTCCAAGGTAAAACAGTGTATCGACCATGTCGGGTACCAAAACCTTAAACCTTGAAATTTTGGAACTTCTAAGTAGAAATTGTAAAGAGTGTACAGCGCATAACTTGCAACACTCAGATAATTTTTGCATGCGGAATAGACAATGCCTGCCGTCTGTTTAATGGATATTAAGAATTTTTTTTTAACAAGAAACGAACTTCTCATTATGAATGAAAATAACGTAAAATGTTAAGATTTTGAGACCTATGACTTCTGCACATCTCACATAGTTCTAAGTAAATGCAGCAGATTACTTTTTATGTTTGCAAATAAATTTGGCCAAAGAATTACCGTTCATTGCTAAATTTGCAATAGCTCCAGAAGCCACTCTGAGAATTGTCATATTTTTAGATGACTGCAGTAGCATAAGCAAAGCATCCAAGCCACCTTCATCTACGATTTTTTCCTGATTTGAATCTGAAATATATGAAGACCATTAGATTGTAATACAAACATCCTCAACTTTTAATGCATCAGCGACGATTCATTGAGGGGTAAAAACAATTCCCCAGAAAGAAATTTTGACAAACCGAATAGACACCAATCTATTACACAGAGATTACGAGGAGATGAATGTACACCTTCAGCAGCAAGATTGGCCACCACCTTTACAGCATGGACTTGGACATCAGAGTCTTCGGAAGTCAACAACTGTAAGATCTTCTGAAGACCAACTGGATATTGAAGCAGACAAATTTTCATCAGGATAGTTTACAAATTCAGTTCATATTAGAATAAAAAATTCTCGAGAATGTACAAGTTCATAGCAATTTTCCATTTTATCATAATACAAGTCTACTAACAATCATCTTGCCTTCCTCGCATATCTTTGCAATTGTTGCACGTTGACCAGAATTGGTCTCTTTCAATTGACTCGTCTTGTGTAAACCCAAGGGAGTTCCCAAGTTTGAAGGTTCTCTCTGTATATTATCCTTTATGTACGATTTCTTATCCTGTGTTCAATGAATCAGAAAACCATAAAGAACTAGAACGATTGTGATATGGGGGAAGTGTATGACAAAATTTACCTCAAAATCATTCTCACTCGTGGGTACAGTCCTTTTTATTTGAACTAATTCATTTTCAATAGCCTTCCTCTGCTTCTCTTCTGATAGAAGTTTTTGCCTCATGATGTGAAGTTCTTCCTTCAGTTTTTCCTAAGAAAACATAGGATTTTTAAACAACTCGTCATCCACTAACAATAATTCGTTACAAATTAGTTGGTTACCTTCCCTTCTGCTAGATCTTTATGCTCCAATTTCAAGCATTGAAATTCAGTGAGAGTATTTTCATGCAACTGGCATGAATGTTTTAACTTTTCCTTGAGTTCCTCGATCTCTTCCTACCCATACATCCAACAAAACAAATGAGTATGATAATGATGATGGCAAGAAGAACTTGGTCTCAATTAAATCATTTGTCCTACGCGTATCATTAGAACTTAAATTAAGAATGAGACTTAATATGTTTAGGCTCAACCAAAACCAAATAATGCAGAAAGGTAAAGAGGCTTCAACCGAATTGATCTTCGGCACTACCTTGCCCAATGAACGTTTCCAACTATCATTAGACGTGGTAAAATGATGACTAGTTCATCGTAAACTGGATCGATGACATGCACAGAGCAGGATTCTTGTTCTTGAGTTAAGAATCGCTTTTAAAAATCATGTTTTATATGAGATGTCAATTCATCAAGGGGAGGAGAGAGTGTGAGATGGAGTAAAATTCTTTTTGAAGCTGTAATGATGTTAACAAAAGGTCAAATAATATAGTTTACTATCTTAGAAAGAAGTTAACCTGCATTGAATTTTGATGAGTACTTAAGCAGCTCTTTGCCGAATGCAACTGTTCTTCCATAACCTCAATGTGGGCATTCTTATCCTCTAATTGTTTCGTTAGCTCTACCATTTTCTTCTCGTATCTCTGAGTGGTTTCAGCAAGTGCCTTCTTATATGCTGAATTCTCTGTTTCATGATGCTATTCACAGCAAAGGAGAATAAGAAATCTACTGGATGTTTAAAACAATGAAAATCAACCCTCCACATTATCGTTTTCAACGTTCATGCACTAAGGCCAACTACAGTTCCAATGAAGGGGGAAAGGAGAGAGGGGTAAGGAAGATAGCAATCAAGTATAAATGTTGAAGGAAAAAGGAACTGCAAGCGGTCAAATGATTTCATGTATGTGACAACCATTTTTTAAATAAAAAAGATATCATAAATATTTGGAGCCGCCTTGTTTACATTTTCAATTTAAAAACAGAATTTCAAAAACATTTATGAATACCAAGTAGAAACCAAAAAGATAAAAAGAAGCAACGAACAAACATGATTATAACATAAATAGAAAAATGCCTAATCTTACAACCAAAAACTTTGTGATCAAAAGCTACGACTACGTGCATGTGTCACAGTAGTATTTAGCTCCTATTCCAAATTCACAATAAAATATGACAATATTGATTATCCTAGATGGTAAAATAGTAATGATGAAGATTTAGCTAAAGACAGTAAAGACCCCGCTAAATTTACTGACCTGCATTGACTTTTTGTGATCGCATAAAATCTTTTTCATCACCTCTAACTCTTCCTTGGCGCTGACAGAGCGAACATGCTCGACTTCCAGCTGTTTTTTCAATTCTGCTATATTCTTCTCATACATTTGAGTGGTATCAGCCAAAACTTTCTGATACGTATAGTTTTCAAGTTGATGTTGCTGCCAGTACACAAAAAGAGACCATCAATTCTCATGACCACAGAGTTTAAGTTCTTTGGTGCACAGCACATCCTTCCTATGGACTACAGCCTCCAGGTAAAAGGGCAATGCACAAAATGTGGTCTATAATCTTTCCACTTTCCAGACCTTCCCGCAAAGCACACTATGAGGAGTAGAGATACAAGAACAGGTGCTTATCGTGAATTATATACGCCATACTAAGCAGTAGTAGAGCCCAGAATAGAAATTGATCTTTTTAGGAAGCCTAATATTAATTTTAAAATACAGCTGATCCCAAACGCTTTAGATGTCCACAAACTACAAAGCGTTAGTTTACTCCCAAGATAAGAAGCAAAATAGTTCACCCACATCAATTAATGATACAGATGACTCAAATGACACTACATGTACAAGAAATTTCAATAGTAAAGGCTTGAACTCGGGATTGACTACCGTAAGACCATGATAAGTAATCTAATCATCTTTCAACTAAGCCTATTGATCATCCTTGTGGCTAAAATTAATAGGCAGATATTGACTTGTTTTTATCTTTTAGTGATTAGATAATGACTATTCAAGAGTAAGCACGTTTAGTACACCATTCATCATACGCTAGGTTAACAGAATATGCCACATAACACAATGAAGCACGAGTTCGTTAAACTGGAAAAATAAATGGTTTCAAATTCAAAACGTTCAAAAAGATGTTGTACATTCTTTCTCAGAATTGACAATACCTTACTGTGTTCTAAACTCATTTCCAGATCACAAACTTTATCACGCATCAGGTCATTGTGATCTCTTTGACGGTTCAATTCAGTTAATAAATCCGTCATCTCCTTTTCAATTCGGGTATTCTCCTTCTCTAGAAACTGAAATAAACATCATCAGAACAAATTTCTCGGAACCAGAGAAAACCCTTGAAATATATAAGTATTCTAAAGTGGTAAACGAAAAACTGGTAGGAAAAAGTTAATTTGAAAATGTATTCAAGAGGAGAGATGGCTACCTCAGACCTTGAAATTAAACCATTTTCTGCTTCAGCTAAGGATGATTGACAATCTCTCAGCTGCTTTTCCAGTTTATGTTTCTCAATTTCTCTGAACTTTTGCTGCCTATCAACTTCTGCAGTGAGATTGTCTACTTGATTCTCAAGCTTCCGGCATAAACTTTCATAGTCAAATTCTTCTTTAAGTTTTATCATGTTCACTATCTTCATTGCCTAATAAAAGAACAAAATAGCAGCCTGTTAATGTCCTGAAACAAAATATAGAAACGAAGCAAAACATTCTGATTAATGATTAGAATGGTAGCAGAGGTAATACACTCTGATCATTTAGAAAATTAAAGGCTAGGAAAGACATACCAACTGAAATTCTAAAAATTTTAAAGATTCTAAAAGATAAACATAAAGCAAATTGTACACAGATGCTTTTTTTTGCTCTTTTCTTGTCTCCATTCCAAAAGAAAATATGAAGTCGTCAGCACTTCATTAAAATCTATAAATCATTTATTTCAGAATATACTACACATACATAAGTTTTTTTTTTTTTAACAAGATACGAAGTTTTCATTTGACAAGTGAAAAGGAATAAAAATGTTCAAAGATACAAACTTCGAAGTGACAAAAATTAAAAAAAAAATTACAACTAGTGAAATATGAAAGCATTCTAAGAAGAACAAATGATACTAGAAGAATAATCCTTAAATAAATGTAAAAACGAGCACCACTGAGACCGCTTTAAACTTAGCTGGACCATAAATACATAATTTACCACCACAGAATCTTTAATTTATCACGGAGAAAGTAAAAGAAATGAGAGCTTATGTTAACGAAAAGTGAACAATCTCCGAGGGATTATTCCTTAAAAGGTTTCAAAACACCAATGATGATAGCATGGAGAAGAAAGAGAAGAAACAATAACATATCCAACTCACACGTTGTCCAAACATTATTGTGCTAGCAGTTTCTGCGTGATACTGTGAAGATGGTCCAATTGTTATAATGAGAGAAGTCCTGGCAGAACCTAATAGAGTTAAAACTATCATTAGTTCATAAGCAAATTGAGAGAATGTCTGAGAACATAACATAAACAAAGAAAGCAAAAGACACCAACACATATCGCTTGATCAACTGATTTACTTGTCAATTTAATATGCAAATTTAAATATAGGAGATTTTAACAACACAAAACAGTAAAGGATACATTAAGAGAGAAGAAGAAACTCTTATATTCACAGATGCTTGATATTGTTTTTTTTAATTATTAAAAACTGGTCATGGGAAAACTAGAACAAGATTTCCAAAGTCAAACCTCCAAATGAATCACGAAGTAGTCTTGTAAGCTTAGAATCTCTGGTGGGTATATGAGTGCTATTTTCCGCCAATGCATTGATACATTTGCCGAGGGAAGTGAGAGAAAGATTAATAAATTTTGCCTCTTCAAGTAAATGACCTTCACTTCCTGCAACATAAAGGAACGAGTAAAAGACAAGTCAAAGTAGTTGTTCTTGTGACATAGTTTTACCATGTAAATGGTAATTTGATCAACTAAAAAAGCATTAAAAGAAACTGAGAAAAGCTTGGTAGTGGTCAAAATAAGTAACAAACCAGATTTATTTATTCTTTCTGATCCTGCTAGATCCACAACAAGCAACTTGCTTTTCCGAACAATGGGTATGCCATCACCACCCAGAACATCAACTGCATTGTCATTCTCTAGGGAAATAGTCCTATCTTCAATTCTTTTGCTGACAGCCCTTCGTACATAAACCTATGAACATGAATTGATAAATTATTTATATTATTTACAAATTTAAAGCCAACGTCCCATTGAATACCAACCATGAGGATTGCATGACTTCGTGAACTTTCTGTATTCAGTTTTGTATTAGCTGCATGGCGATTAGCCTCACTAATCTCTAATAATTGTAAAAAGTGATCTATATCTTGAATTTTGACGACAGTAGCACCAGGAGCTGATACTTCTCCAGTTTTAGGATCTTCATTAATAGGAATGTTGACCTTCTCAGGAGCGAGCAAATCTTGAATAGATTCCATATACAACTGAGAAGAAATAGAGCACAATAAGTTCTGATTGTCCATATACCATTAGAAAAACCTGGAATCTAATGGAAAGCAATTAAGCATGGCCGTGGTAATATGCTTGTGTCCAACACGTATGAGACGGAGAGATTCAGTTTGTTCTTTTGAATTTGGATTTTCTTCTTCTTCTTCTTTTTTTCAGTTCATTGGCCCATAAAAAAATAGTGGAGCAAAAATTGAATGTTTAGAATTCTCTTTTAAGCATATAAGTATGCCGACGTATTTCATAATAAATTCTTAATTTTTTACAAGAATTAAACTTCTAGAGATCTAGTTAAGAGTGCCGTTAGAATATGTTGCATCATTTTAAATGCTCAAGAATCTTCAAAAGAAGTTATAAAGTTGGAATATGAAGAGCAAAGAAGATTTTCAACCAGTTTTCTACCTAGCATAAATCCATATTTTTAAACAAGCTATGCGAGAATCCAATAGCTGCTCAACTTTGTGGACTTCATCCATCCAAAAATATAAGCTTTATATATATTCTTCTAACATTTTACAGATCTCTAATCTCACCTAAACAAATTTAAATGGTCAAGATTGATCCTAAACCAATCAACCAAAAGTAAAACTTTAAAGTAAGCTCAAGAAAATAAAGAATGCGTCAATCCATCAAAGTAATTGGATGCACAAAAATTAGTCCGAGCATCACCATTCATAAATGCACAATATGCACTGTACCTGCAAATAGGAAACTTCCACGCTATCTGAAGTAGGAGATACATTGGCAATTATATCCTCTAAAGCTCTAACCATGATACCACGTTCAGATGCATCCTCTTTACCCATTTTTCCAAGTGTATAAGTCTTGCCAGTTCCTGTTTGACCGTAGGCCATAATTGTCCCATTATAACCATTTAGCACACTCTGCAAAAAGTACATGAAATTTATTAACATAAATGTCAACTAGCATAATTTGTACAGATTTAAAAGATGAAAAAATAGTAATCTATACAACAACTCAACAAGAAGAACCACAGATACAGGAAGCAGCTAGAAGATGTCTATGAAAATTAAATCACATTCACATATCAAATATGAATTAAGCAGTTATTAATGACATCACTTATCAGTCACTAACCTCAACCACAGGTTTTGCTACCACTTCGTATACACGCCTTTGAGAGGCAGATTCAGTAAAAACTTCATCAAATCTGTATGACTCAGAACTCCAGTTGTTTTTTCTCAATTTCAACCGCTTCAGCTACATAGTGAAATAAAAGAAAATAAAATTATTATGGTAACCCATAGTTTTGGCTCGCATAGATAATAAAGTAAGAATAAGACTTGGTAGCACATTAGTAACTCCTACTTGATGATGAGTAGATAAGATATTGATATTATAAATAATAAATATACAGATCTCACAAATATTTTTGATCCAATACAAATGGACCGAGTCAAAAAGTAGGGGCTCCAGCTTAATAATGGATACATAAGCTTCTTCATGAAATAATTTTGTAATTATGTTGTAGTCAATCACCTCTGGCTGTAATTCAACACAATCAGCAAAATCTGCATCAGAAAGGAGATCTTCAGCATTTCTCGGTCGAACTCTAACAGCAACTCTCACCCTCTGGGGATCTATTAAGTTCACGTGCAAAAAACTTCAAAATGTGATCCTTATATCTTGGTAGCTTCACAAATGTCAGACAATCTATTCAGGAACCAAACCTCTTCAAAGAAACAGCAAACTTATCTACTGGAGAAGCTAAAAATTTGTTCAAACACTATTCCTACAAATGCAAGACAATCCTTTCAGGAACCAAACCTCTTTAAAGAAACAACGACCAAAACATATCTTCCGGAGAAGCTAAAAACTTGTTCAAATACTATTCCTACTCATCTCCACCAAAGGCAGGGGGCTATTCACTGTTTTCCCACCAAACGTAACCAAATATCTTCAGAATGATTTAAGATACAGTCATCGCAATATGTCAATATTTGTATGTTAATTTTAGTAATTAGCCCTTCCAAAATGATTGTATCAAAGAAAACACACTAACCATTGTATGATTTACAAGTTTATTAAGCACCTTCTCTAAATTTGACATCCGGCATACTAACCATTCTCGTACTAATCTCGTCGCAAGAAAGCAAGCAGCTACATGGAACAAAGTTTAATAACAAAAGGAATGCACATAACTGCAACTTCGAACTGTGACGCTAACAAGTTTGTAAGCTTCCTCAACTATCTATTTATATATTTGGTTAACTTCGTGAACAAAATGGCCTCCGATAAAAATCCGTTCTCGCTCAACTTCCATACATCACATCCCCTAAAGAATCCACGAAGCTGCCCATACAGCGACGAACTGAGATGCACGAGCTCAAACTCATTTAAAATATAAAGATACCATTAACCCGAGGAAGCAGACGCATAAGCAAACAGAACACGCATTGAACCGAAACAACATAGTCAGGAACAGAGCAGGACGACAAGCATCCAAACCGAGGAATCAAAGAAACTACTAGAGAGAGGAATACAGAAATCACGACCTTCGTCGGCGTCAAACGAATGCGACCTGGAATTAGGAGTAAGAGAGCGTCGAGAAGTAGGGGACGCCTTAGCGCGAGCTGAAGAAACGACACTCTGTCCATGACCAACACTTTTGGAAGCAGCAATGGAGAAGCCAGAGGAGCTGCTATGAGCAGGAGAAAGAGGCACATGGTGATGAACACCTTGCCTCTCGGACCTCATAGAAGACCTGAAAGCACTACCACCGCCATTCATAGCCATTTTCTTCGAAACCAAGCTCTCTCTGATCAGAGCATACAGCTCGAAGCTTCAGAGAGAACGAAAATCCGAGAATCGAACGCACATTTACAGAACGACGAATCCATTATCAGAATGCCAGAGCAGAGGAGGAGTTGAGGCCGGCACGTAGAGGAAGAGAGAGAGAAAGAGAGAGGAACTGGTTCCCGCGTTGGCAATTGGGTAACGTTTGGGGCGGCAGCGTTTATTTATTAAATTAAAATTTATAGTTATTCAATTACTGTCACTATTATTTGACTAAAATTAAATGCCATTTAAATTCAATCTCCAAAGCAACCAATAACAATATTTCTTCCCTTTTCTTTTTTTTTTTATTTAGACTTTATAATATCATAGCTAAAAGTATTTTCTCTTTGTCGCCTTTTAATTTGTTTGCTTATTTTTTTATACTGACGCCAAAATGTATTTTAAGGAAATTTTAATTTTAAATCAATTTTTTTTTTAATGTTTAGCTTACGCGATCTCAATTTATCTCACAAAATTTTAATATCATACGTATGTTACTACTCAATTATATTTCATTTTTAATAAACAAATGATATCTTTAGTATTAACATGGTTTGAACCCATTCATCAATCGAACTCAAAACAATGATATATTAATACTAAAAAAAATACTCATGAATTTTACCCTTTCTTCTAACAAACATCAAGATCATTTCAAAAGTTTCAATACTATTGAAGGAAAGTTAATACGACACAATTTAGAACGATGTGGTGATTAGAGTAGAAGCTTGTCTGGAACAACAATGTGGCATATAAATAAATGTTTGCTCTAATTTAGAGGACGTTATTGTTAGAAATAGAATTAGTTAACATTCTAAACTCTGATGTATAGGGCAACATTGTTAGATTTAGCATTTTATTAGATTAAGTAGATGCGTTTTTCTATGTTATATGTCACATCGTTCTAGACAAGTTTCTACGTTAATTATCATGTCATTTCATATTCTACCATGTCAATTTTTCATTCAAAATATTGACAGGTGTTTGCTTAAAGGGTATTTTTAAAATGTTTATGAAATGTCAAGGGTAATATTAAAACTTTTGAGATGAATAGAGTATTTTTTTAACAAATGACAAAGTTTAAGGGTACTTTGGTAATTTAGCCTTTTTTTTTTCTAAGTACAACATTATGGAGGTGTACAGATTCGAACTCACAACATAATGGTTGGAAATAGATATCAATAAGGTTGAGTTAAATTCACGTTAGCTTTTTTCATTTTTTTTCCTACCATTTGCTTACATTAGATGGGAATTTTTAACTCCTTCCCCACTTTTCTCCTCTCTTCAATTTGTGTGTGCACTATTTTTCCCTTTTTTGTAGGTGCCTTATTGATAACCATGGACGAACATCTTCTACCTAAATAATAGACAAATATAATCAACAAGAAAAATACTAAAGATTCAAGTTTGGCCCATTATCCAAAATCTAAATTTATTTATCAATCTGCTTCTATTTGGCACGGTACTCACCATAATGAGTTTGAAATAACAACGATACTTGATTGCTGACAAGCCTTCTAGTTCTATCTCGTCAAAGAATTATTGGACGAAAAATAATACATGGGCGACCACACAAGTCCAAAAGCATGAGCGTTAAAGCGGCCAACATTATTCCCAAAATAGCCTCTAAAATTAATGATTGACAAAAACTACAAAATTCCCAAAGTTGCATTCCCTTGTGAGGTCTATAGCTCTAGGGCAAGATTTATTCATTTTCATTTTGAAAGTTGAGGTCAATAATTGGTGCATCCATGTCTACTTGTGGAACTTGTAGGGACCTCTAGACATAACCCATTGATAATGTTGTGGGGACACTTAATTTTGCAAAGATTTTACAACGAAATTGAGTATGAAGTATATATCACATGCTATGTTTTCTCACCATATATTAAAAAGGACGATCCTTCTTGTTGGAGATTATTGTTTGACATTTAATGGAATATTTATACTCGTAAACGACCCAGGGTGAGTTATTGAAGGATAATAAGAAATTGCAATAACTTCAATACAATGAAATTATCAAAAATAAAAATAAAAATCATTCAATCGATCGAGAAAATTATGTTTATGAATCTCTAGTACTTTCAAAATTCTTCAACTATGTTCTGCATAGATACAATATCGTTATGCATCTATTTCACATGTTGGATATCACTAGCATATTCAACGACTATCTAATCAGGCTGAGAAATCACTCTCAACCAAAATAAATTAGTACTTACTTAGACCATAGATTATGACAATGAGAATAGCAAAGTAAAAAAAATTATGGTATTACGAGTCTGAGAGTATCCGTCATGTCAATATCACCGCGAGGTTCACTAATATTATTTATGAAAGCAAAATCAAACACAAATGGTAATTGGACTTTTTTTTAAATAATATATCTTTCCACTAACTCATAGAAGAAAAGGGCTTTCATTTCTCAAAAAAAGTTTGCCTTCTTTCCGACATTATGGAAGTAAAAGGAAATAATGAGAAACTTTTTCATCTCCTTTTCACAGCTTCATTGCAATGAAGTGCGTGAAAGGCATTAGAGAATAAAATTGGAAGCCAAAAGATTATTCTTTCACCTTTTTGGAATAATATTCCAAATCTTGAATCAATTATTTTATTCTATTTCCATTGTTCAAAGAAAATCAAGTTTTTTTTTTCAGACGTCTCCTGTTCTCTTCCCCTTACAGTAAAAAGAAATTATGTCAAACTCTACCAAAGTAAGCCTTCTCTTTGGCCAATTCGAATTTTGTTTAGAAAAGAACTTTCTGTATTTTCAAAATAACTTCTCAAAAGTTTTTTTTAAATGACTAAAAACATTTTTATCATTCTACTTTAAATCAATCCTTAGGACCGTTTGATAACCATTTTATTTTTTATTTTCTGTTTTTAAGTAAAAAATCATGCTTGTTTTTGTATAGTTTTGTTGGTAAGTTTTACGCCTTTCTTTAAAATATATTTGAATTCATACCTGAATTTCAAAAAAAAAAAAAAGAAAAAAACCAAGTTTTTGAAAGCTACTTTTTGTGGTTTTCAAAATTTCATATAGATTTTGAAAATGTTTATAGAAACTACATGACAAAACAAAGGAAGGATATAATGTTTATAAGCTTAATTTTAAAAAACACAAAATAAAAACGAAAGGGTTATCAAACGGGTCCATAGTAATCCATATATCTCTGCAAGTAATTATTCAATTTCAGTAAAAACCCATAAGGTTAAAATGAATAACCAAACCTCGTACCTGTTGGAGTTTGAGTTAATGGATGTACCAAAATACGGTTGCATAATATCCATTTTGTCAGTCTGAAGGAAGATTCTGGCCGTACTGTAGAAGAGGTGAGGCTCTGCTGTCCATTTGTTTTTTGTTGCTTCATTTTGCTGACAATGAATGGCAATTTTGTTAGTCGGTGCAAGCTGGAAGTTGGACAAAAACCATGTTCCCAGATCTCAAGTTCTTTCAGATAATGCATAGATCTTGGAAAAAATGAAGTGAAAAACTGAATAGAAAGTTAAGCTACAAGGCAAAATTTCAGGTAGTTATGCACTTGGACTTGTGGGAATTGGACAAAAACCATGTTCCCAGATCTCAAGTTACTTCAGATAGTGCATAGATCTTAATAAAAAAAATGAAGTGAAAAACTGAATAGAAAGTTAAGCTACAGGTTAAATTTTGGGTAGTTATGATATTGGACTTGTGGGAATTGGACAAAAACAATGTTCCCAGATCTCAAGTTATTTCAGATAGTCCATGGATAAAGTGCAGAACTGAATAGAAGGTTAAGCTACAAGGCTAAAATTTAGGTAGTTATGCTTTTGGAGTTTTATGTTTCCCAGATCTCAAGTTAATTCAGAAAGTACAAAGATCTTCATAAGATTGAATTGCAGGACTGAATTAGCTAAGCTACAAGGCTAAGATCCAGGCAGTTGTGCTCTTGGACTTGCCTACTTAGCTGTATTCAGATTTCCATACTGTTCATCTAGCTTGAGTCCTTGACCTCTTCCATTCCATTCTAAGTCCTGTTTTCTAGCATTCTTCTTCCTGTTTTTCAGTTTAACATGATGCAGATATATGAACCAAATTAAACATAAACTTACTTCAATCAAATGTCAAGTAATTCAGCACCTAAGTATTAATGACGCACAGTATAATGAACATAAAACCAGTCGGAGGGTTCGTGCGATGATAATTATATCCCTTCAGCCACCGGGAAAATTGGTACTAAATGTTGTGTCGTATGCACACAGATGCAAGAGACAGACGAATTAAACGAAAGGATATTGTCGATAAAGGATCTTACCTTCTAACCTACAAGCTTTCAAAGGCAGAGCACGTTGAACTCGCAACCAGTAGTAGGTGCTTCCTTGCTAAAACAAGATATATGAGCTTAATACAGAAACCCCATCTGTGCGGCAATGCCTGATCCCATGCATCTGCTGGAAGAGGTTGTAAGCAGAATATGGCTAAAGGAAGTTGAGGAAAGAAAATAATTAAATGTGAAGACATATATGAGTAGTGACTACAGGATTAAAGCACCGCATTAGTATACTCTCCCACACTCTCATTCAACGAGGAGGGAGAAACGCAAGATTCTGTTACAAAGCATAACTGCAACTACCTGTATTTTCCTAACTGTACTATTCAGTCTAATACACAATATGATGAAAATAATCCTTGATAGAAGGGGGTTGCGCTTCATTCACGTTAGGTAGAAAACTTTGAAGGTTGAAATTTGATAACCTGCACCTTCAGTGTTGACTGACATATTCTGCCCAGGCATTGTTGTAAATAATCAGTGGCGATGATGTGAAGCGTGAGCTGGAGTAAACAGTATCCAGCATCTTCAAATGTTCATATACTGTCCCAGCAGCAAGAGTAGAACTATGGCTTCCATGCAGGTGGTATGTCTGAAATCACTCCTGGCATAGTCAAGCTTTAACAACTATGGACAACTCTGTAGTTATCAGAAACTCAACTTTTCCATCCAATTGCCTTCAGGTCACTTTGCTTTAGTTCAGTATAACTTCCAAGCCTGAAATTATTGGGAAAAAGATTCAATGAATCTACATGACATCGCATTTATCTGAATACCCATGTTCATAAATAAACTAAGTTGCAGCTAAAACCTCGTTAAAGCATTTTCACAGTTCACCTTGGGAGAAGGGAAGAAAACTTATTTTTTGTCAGCTAAAACCTTTTGTGATAAATCTTATTTGAAAATTAAATTTGTCTTAAATCTAACCAAAGAAAAAAAAACTATCTTCAACGATAAACTTCGAAGATGTTCTTTGTTCAGTCAGTGGGAAAGATACGTTTTCATTTGGTTTGATATCATTATGATATAATACACCGACACTTACTATTCACCAATGTTTGTGAATAAGTACTTGCAAAATAATAAAGAAACCACTCCAAGACATAAGAAATTATTTATATATATTACTTGTTTTCTGTTATGTGAAAAATGAACTGCCGAGTAAATCATGTAATCTGATTTCTATACCCATTCTCAAAAAATTATAAATTTATCATAAAAGGAAAAGGATCAAAGATGTATCATAACAAGCAAGTACCCCAAATCAGATGGAAGTCTGAAGCCACCAATCCTTACACGCTTTAATGAATAAATCTGGAACAATAAAATTCAGAAATTACACTTGGCAGACAGGAACCAAAGAATAGAACCAAAACTTAAAATGGTAGCCAAAAAGGCTCCCTCGATGTCAGGTCCTCTCTCTCTCTCTCTCTGTTCCCTTGTGTGTGTTCGTGTGATCCTCTCTCTCAAATGTAAGTAAATACATGTTTATTTTTGTAGAGAAAACAGAACTTCCATTAAGACTATGAACGTAAGAAAGAAAGGAAAGAAAGGCCTGCTATACAGAGGAACAAATGAGAACAAGAAGATACAATAAAACCGTCCAAAAAGAAAATGAAACCCAAAATCTATATAGAACATGATTACAAGTATAAACCCCAATGTTAGTAATCATATATGGATGGTAGTTACATGAATCCCTAGTTACAGAAAACAAAGGTATGCAAAGTGCACCAGAAATCCCACCTCCAGTATATCTCCTTCACCTTGTGACCTAAAACCTTTCTATTATTTTTTAGCCAAATGTCCCAAGCAGCACATAGAGTCCCAACTAGCCACTGCATCCATCATTTTCCCTCAGACTAACAAATTTTAATTTATTAATGTACCGAAGGGTTGAAAGGTTATCTGAATAAAATGCAATGGAAGAATATGCCCGTTCAAAATATTGCCATAATGTAGTTGTAGCTAACAGCACAACCAACTGTACTAAGAAAAAGTGGTATAGTATTACTTAATTTCTATCTTATAGGGCTGTGGAAAAAAGGTCATCTCTGTAGACTGGTGGAAAAGTGTAACAGTAAAGGGTAAGCATCTTAAAAAAAGTCAGAAGCTAACCTCTAGACCAGCAGCTTTTACAAGTTCTCGAACTTCATGGTTCCTTCCTTCATGTACCTGCAAAAGCACATTAAGTTAGTCCGGAGCTGTAACAAGCACCGGGAGCAGAAAAAAGGTACTAGTATATTTTCTTCCACACAGACTACTGCATAGCATCGAAAATTATAGAGAAGAGAACATAAATACCAACAACATTCAGGTTAGAAAAGCAAGTGATGTTGCAGGTCTTTACAATCATAACTTCAAGATCGATTAGATCAAACAAGAAGGCATGAATGAGCTGAGAATGCATAGAGATTCAAAAAGTATAATATGGATGGACTAACGCACCACAATACGCAGACGAGATCTTGATACATCTGGCTGTCGCGGTAGCAGCTCCACAGAATCTGGGGTGCAATGGACGCCATCAATTATTGTTCCCTCACTGATTGCTATCAGGTTCTGCTTACTAACAGCACCATCTATTGCTGCAATGTATCTACAGTTATGTGCAGATGTTGGTATTTTTAGTAATCACAACATTCAAAAACTTAAAAATTTATGTATTAGGAAGCATAAAAAAAGAAAAGAAAATGCTTTAATTGAATTTTTTATAGGGAAAAAAGAACAAAAGAAAAGGATCAGTATCATATTCCTTATCCCTGAAATGGTCAGTACACAGTAGGTAACTATGATGTCGGAGTTTTTGGTTGATCTGTTGATCTTTAAATTACTCCATGGAAATTATTTCAAAAGTTATTTTTGTAGGTAACCTTATAATACCTCAGCCATAGTTAAGAAAGAAAATGCAATCACTTACTCCTTCGATAAGCCAGATGAAGGATGCGAGATACTTTGAGCAAAATCTCCTGAAAGAAATATCAATGTTAATTTTGTCCTTCTAACTCCGAATTTTTTCTATGGAAATCCTAAAAACGGAGGCAACGATGATTAGTTTGTCAAAGAACATACCATCATTGGTCACTATAATCAACCCAGTTGTAGCAACATCAAGTCGGCCAACAGTAAACAGACGTGGTTTGGGTTGTCCTGGATATGTTTTATCCTGCAAATAAAAAGTTTTAGTTGAATAACTTGCAAATGATATTTCATGAGTAAATATGATCACAAGATCACCGCTCCTTTCTAGTCTTTTGCTTGAAGACAACATGGATTAGTAGGTTCAACATACCCAACTCTTCAAATAATCATCAAATAAACTTATCACAGACTTCGATTCCTTTTTCCCAGATGAACAGATATACCTGCCGTAGCATTAAATAAAATTAGCAATGGAATCACAGGTAGGGGAGGAAAATTGACCGCAGAGGTTAAGTGACAAACCCTTTTGGCTTGTTCAAGGCTAGATAAACTTTTGGTGGCAGCTTCTTGGGGAGCCTATTTCCATTCACATAAATAACGTCTCTTGCAGGATCCACCCGAGTCTACAGAAATGTGAATCATTTATTCCTTCGTGGTTAAGACAAAAATCCATCCAACCCACACGGTACAGCCAACTGACCTGAGGAGTATTGCAAACAGAACCATTAACAGTCACACGGCCTTCAAAAATAAGCTCTTCACTGCTCCGTCTTGATGCCACTGACAAACAAAAGAGGAGACAATACCAACTATGAGATCTTACTGGGACCATGATAGTTAACGTATACAGGACATTGGAGAAGAAAACAAAACAGAACACTCCAAGACCAATGCGAAACCATAAAACACGAGAGAAGGATCATGTACCTAGCCTTACAACTTAACATTTAGTTCATGGAAATTATAATTACAAACTCAACCAAATGGTGAACACCTGAACTTTCATCCCCAGTCTTCTTAACCTGGTTGAGACTAGCTAGAAATAACATGTTATCCACAGAAGTATTCAAACTTAAGTTCCTACCATGAATGAAGTAGATGGAGAAACAGGATAAAAATAGGGCACATCCTCCATCTACGTATCTAAATACAAAAACTCAAACCAAATGTTCACACCTCCGAAAGGGTCAAACAGGATAAATACAAGAAATATTTAGTCATATTTGTCATTGCTCACGAAAGCGAACTTTTACAATACATGTCAATTTACATAGTCCACCTTACTACTTTTAAGAAAAATGAAGCTCAAAGAGAAGAATTACCCTTAACATAAGCCAAACAAGCAGCAAGTAACTGAGCACTAACTACTAAGCAGCAAAAATAAAAAAGTATGCATAGACAACAAGAACAAAAGAAGGCTGCGTGATAGACGATGTTGAGCTCCAATCATATTTCTTTCTTGGTTCTTTGGGGGCCTTTGACATTGTTTCTGATTGAAGTATAGTTGTACATTGACCCTATGTTAGAGCTCATATCAAAGGATGACCGTTTGAAGTTCGGGCCAAGTAAAGCCATCTCAAGCATGGATTTACACCAACACAAGTGCGTCTTCTGCATCTAGGCGTGTCGCCACATTACTAACTAAACTACAAGTAGATATTCCTTCCATTATATTTCTAGAACTCCTTATCGGTATAACTAAACATTTTTCAAAAAATAACCCAAGGAAAGACGACTAGCGCCGCACCAACTGCCAAACAACAATAAGTAAAAAGACAGAAACGTTATCAAAAGTCAGAAGAACGACCTCCAGCAGCAGCAAGGACTTTACTGAGACGTTGCGACGAGTCCCTAATATTCTCGTTGTAAAATCTCCGGGCAGCCTTGGAATGCTTGGGGGGTGGTTCAGGCACGCGCTTATCGGCAGAACCCTTCTTCCTCCTGGGCTTGGTTTCAGCCTCCGACATGGATTGGAGGAACCGCGTAGGAGGGTGCGATTGGAGCTGGAGGTTGCCATCCTCGCCGCGAACAATCCAGGGAATTAAGAGCTGACCGCCGGTGTTTGGATCAATGAACTGAAATGGGTGTTGGATTTCGGATTTGGGTTTCGGCTTTGGGGGCGCGAATGTGATATTGAACTCCAACGGAGATGAAGAGGAGGCATTGGGAGCGGAATTGGAGGAGAGAGAGCAGGAAATGCGAGGAATGGCGCGAATGGGGTTGAGGATAAAGGAAGGTTTGGAGAGAATGGAGAGTGAAGAGAGTGCTGCGGCTAAGGAAGCCATTGGAATCGAAATTCTGGTAGTTTTTACTGCCTTCGCGCGCGGCTTCGTCACTGCTTTATACCATTCGGATTGGAGAAGGAACACGATTGAACTTGAGGCTACCAATTCTATTGGTGATTTTTTTTGGATTTTGATTTTTGTTCTTTTATTTCACGATAGCAAAGCTGACGCAATTAAAACATTTATCCTTTAATTTATTATTTTTTTTTTTTTTACATAATGTGTCCTTTAATTAATATCTTATGCATTCTTTCTTTTTTTTTTCCTTTTCTCAAGCTCACTGAAAATAGGTAGTTTAATAGATCGGATTTTATGCATTCATCTATGCTTTTGAGTGACATATTTTGTATTTAATTAATTACCGATTAAACCTGCCTATATCTCTCAATCCTCGATTGTGGAATTAAAAAATACTATAAATTAAATAATTTTTATGATATTACATTGTGATTCCAAACCTACTTTAATCAGAGATTCATGCTCGTTTTGATCTTTTGTAGAGTGATTTAACCAGGTGTGGCGAAAGAAAAATACTAGTTTGGACATAGTAAAACGACATGTATGTTGGATTAAATCGTGATTAGTAGATTACGCGTCGATAATCTTCTCCGTACATTTGTTGTGTTTGAGGCTCCAATTCATATATGACATGTCATAAGGTCTAGTTGTGCAAACTAATATTTCAAGAAAAAATAAATGCAAACTATTGTGCTTACTAAGCTTTTATCCACAAACATTCAAATCATGTGTTATAGTCCACAGCATCGCATCTCATTTTATTTTATCAATGTTAATCTGAACATAATTCAATTGGTTCAGACATATATTCGACTAAAATATCGCATGTTAAAACTTCTACCCCACATGCTGTTTTAAATTTCTAACTCACAATATCTTGATCGGAGATAGTTACCTTAATCGGTTGAACTGTTCAGATGGGCAATTGTTTAGTTTGAAGGTAGCAATTTTATAGTTATATTTAATTGTAGCCATGTTTATAATCAACGGGTAGTTTGCAACAACTCAAAAAATAGGTGATCAAGAGATCAAATCACTATGTGTATCTTGGTGGTCGTGACTTCTGGTGGTATTTTTAAGTACGAATGCAAAATCGAACATAATCAAATGAACAACAATCAGCTATGTTTTTGTGAAGTTAAAACTTCAATCTCATCACTCCACGATGGTTAAATATATATATTAAAAAAACACCCACAATTGATCATTGTACTCGAAGTAACAATTTATTCTTCAAAATTTAGCATACGATAGTTTAGTCTGTGCAGCTAAAAATTTATAATGATTTCGTTTTCATGTGATAATTGTTGTTAAAATTTACTAGGACTTGACACATATGTAAAACCAATAATGGACCAAATCAAATCATTACATAATAAAAATGGACATTTTTCGGATAGGAATTAAATTATTGCATATTTTAAACTTAGATTAAATATACACCAACAAAATATTTTTTAACAACAATAAAAGAAAAATGAAAAAAAAAAAAAACTGAATTACGAAGGGATTATTACCTTTGGCTTTGATCGTATGGTGGAAGGCCGGAGGCCCAAAAATCTCTTTACCCGCGAGCCCCAAAACATTTCACTCAGACGCGTCGCGTTCACGCGCGCTTTCTTCTACGAGCCGGACCAGTACGGCTGCCGATGCTTCAATCAGAAACCCTAGCATATTTCTTTATTCAGATCGATCAACCATCATTTTCTCCCCGTTATTTTGCGTTTCACTTCATGGATTTCAATCTGAAGAATCAATCACTGTTCGCTGAAGCAGCATTGCTTTTTTCTTGAATCACCGTTCCCAATATTATGCGGCGTTGTATTTCAAGCTAGAACTGTATTGTATATTCCTTCATTTACGCAGAATTCAATTTCAGTTAAGAAAACTACTCCTTAACCACAGCGAAGAGTCAAGACTACTGCTGGAATCGGGCTCATTTCAGAATTTTCGAGTAAGTTCATTCGAGAATTGATAAATTTTCGCTGTGTTTTATCATAGTTTAAATGGCAAACTCTGAGGAAGTAGGAAAGGGTCCTGTTAGGCCGAATTACGAGGAGGAGGAAGGAGACCGAGAGCCTCCCGATTTCGAAAATGGCAACGGAGAAGCCGAGGATGGAGATGAGGAAGTTGAAGGTGAGGAAGAAGACGAGGAAGACGAGGATGAAATTGACGAAGGACCGCTGCCGAGGAAGCATATTTCGGATGCCTCCAGATTGATTGCTCAGAGGTCCAAGTTAGAGAACCTGATTGAGCGAATGAGGAAGGAGAATGTCAAACTTCGGGTTCACGACATTTTGATCAAGGGAAACACGAAGACCAAGGATTCTCTAATCGAAGCCGAAGTGGAGGCTATTAAGAACGCCTCAACCATGCAAGAGCTGCTGGAGGCGGCAGGCGTAGCCAATGCCAAGCTCCAGAGGCTTGAGATCTTTGACTCTGTCAAGATTACACTTGATTCAGGCCCGCCGGAGCTCCCTGGTACTGCAAATGTTGTTATCGAGGTCGCTGAGACGAACAACCCTCTCTCTGGTGAATGCGGTGCTTACACAAAACCTGCGGTAGGATTTTTATTCTTTGTATGTGTAGATATTTGTGTGTAATGCGTGAATTTATGGCTTGTTGGTTGATAAATTATTGCTAAATAATGGAAAATGACGTGCTTTACTATAGTTGTCTACCCCAATAAATCTCAATGGTTTTCCATCTTTTATGCGGCCTGTGCCTCTCGTGGTTTCCTTTCCAGAAATGTAAATTACATTCTCTAATATAAGACATAAAGGACTTGCTGTAAATTAGAACCTAAAAGTAAGTTTCCCAGGCAGAGAACAATCTGCTTGTATACGCCCTGTGTTTTGTAACTGCTACCTGTGCATAAAACCCATTGCAAACTGTTCTGGAACATTAAGGTTGTTGAATTGGTATGTTACGCCCTTTTCTCGTCTTCAGAATAGTCGGTTGTCTAATTCATTATTCAGTTTACTATGGAGTGTTTTGTATTGAATTAGATCAGAAGAAGAATTACACTGTCAGCATGTAATCAAAGCACACTTGTTTGTCACTGGTAATGTAAAAACAAACTTTTTCCCCTCGTCATTATTTTCTGATACCTGTCTAAATCAATTGTCTCAGTCGTACTTCATGGCACCGAATCTTGTAACTATGGATATTTGAACTTTTTCGTGCTTATCACATATCATTTAGCAGTTCTGAATTCATGAACTCTGTTACTTTTTTGAAGTGTGATTCCTCTGTCCGGACTATGATTTCCCAAGATAAGCTTATTGCCTGTTTAATTGTGGAATTTATGCACGAACTATTTGGCATGCTATCTCAAGTGGGAAGTTTGAAGTAGTATAATGCTTTTGTAGGCTCGTTCGTGGACTTTTGAAGGTTCTGTTAAGTATAAAAATTGGCTTGGATATGGGGATTTATGGGATGGCTCTTTGGCATACGGTCCTAACCAAACATCTGAGGTAAGTGCCGGTGTTTATTTCCCAAGGCTGAAGCAATTGGTGACTCCTTTGGTGGCACGGCTATCCCTACTTTCCCAAGATTGGTTGGAGTTTTCATCTTACAAAGAGCGGTCATTAGGTCTTTCACTTGGCCTATATTCAACAAGGTATCATGATTTGGCATACAACCTCGGATGGCGCACCATAACCGACCCTTCTCAAATGGCATCTAGGTCAATAAGGAGACAGCTTGGACATAGTTTACTTTCTTCTCTAAAATATACTTTTAAGGTTGACAAGAGGAATTCAGTAGTGAGGCCGACTAGAGGATACGCTTTTGTTTCTACTAGTCAAATCGGTGGCCTTGCACCTGATCATCGGAGCTTGCGATTCGTGCGCCAGGTTTTCTTCATTTCCTTTTGGTTTTCTTGTAACAATATAAGACTTTCCCAAGCCTATTTGTACCTCGTCTGTTGTTGGACATTCATTCATAGTTGTACACCATGCTACCCGTTTCTTTTAATGCTGAGTAAAATTATTTGTTTCCATCTTTTAACAGGAATTTGATCTACGTTATGCCGTTCCTTTTGGTTTTGACCGTGCTGCCATGAACTTTGGAATCTCTGCCGGCGTTGTCCTTCCTTGGGGTAATGGATTCATGAACAAGCCATCATCCCTTCCGGAACGCTTTTTCTTAGGTGGTGATTTCTCTCCAGTATGCACCATTGGAGGCCCAACAACTGTATGGGGATTTAAGACCCGTGGGATGGGGCCTACTGAGCCAAGACGTGAAGTGAAAGATAAAAATAATAGTGAAAACAATGATTCTCCTGGAAGGGATTTTGTTGGAGGGGATCTTGCAGTCACTGCTTTTGCTGATCTTTCATTCGACCTCCCAATTCGCTGGTTAAGAGAACATGGAATCCACGGACACATTTTTGCTGGGGCAGGGAACCTTGCAAAGTTGACTGAGAATGAGTTCCGCAGTTTCTCTTTTCAGAAGTTCTTGGAAACTTTTCGTACCTCTGTAGGAGTTGGAGTTGTGGTTCCAACAAGACTCTTCCGCCTAGAGGTCAGTCACGATCCCTGATCCCTGATTTGTGTGTTTCGTTGTTCTGTTATACTATTCGTTGGCCTGGTTCTGATATCTGTTTTTCTATCTAAAGATAAGGTGTGTGGTCCTTACGGATCGAGTATAAAGTTGGGACTTCTGTTTCCTCGTTATAATTCTCCTATTGAACAGAAAAAACGACCCACCCCGAAATATTGTCTTAGATTGTCTTTTGATTTTATTTTGTATTTGCTACTCATTCTAGCCTGGTTCTATGAACAGGGTAACTTCTACTACATACTCAAGCAACAAGAGCACGATCGTGGCAAAACTGGCTTTCGGTTTAGCATTTCTGCTCCATAAATCTTGACTTCTGATGAGGTTTGATGTTGAAGAACTATGAAGTAAGGCGGAAGTTATGTCTTTCTGGCAATTTGTTTCTTTTGCTCATTGACTGGTGTCCTTGCTGAGTTCTCAGTTTGGACTAGATGAAAATTTTCCTTTCAAAACGTTCATGAAAGTGAAAAAAAAGGATAAAAAAAGAAAAAGAAAAAGAAAGTTTCTCTTCAACCATTGAGAATGGAAGAATAATATATGATTTGTTATGTGTATTGGAACAGGCCACGGAAATCTCCCTCACAATTGGTTTCATTCACCGGATAATTTTTATGTCCTCCATCAATGAGACGAGACTATTTCATTTCATACCCCATATGGTTTGTCATTTTCCATCTCTCGAAATATTTTTTTGCACATTATGATCAATTTTATTTTGAATAGATTCTAATACCATTATTTTGAAAGGATTCTTTAAATAGTTCCCTACATTATTCATCCTGTCTCAATGAAGCAAGGATACGAGCACGAGACACGGTGACATGTAATTTTCTAAAAAACTAAGACACAGACACGACAAGGACATGTTTATTAAAATATAAATTTAAAAAAAAGTATATATCATTTTTAAGGAAACTAAATGTCTTAATGCTGGAAAAAAAATGAGTTTGATGTATTTCACCCTCAAAATTTATTATTGTGTCATATATTACTATTTTTGTCTATTTCTTATGCTTAACAAGTGTTCAGACGCATGTCTAACAAATGTCGAATTCATTTCACTTTCTACAACTCGTGTGTGACACATATCTATTGAGCTAACAAGAGTCTGATACGTATTCGACACTCGAACACGTTACCCAAATTGAAGTGTTCATACTTTTTAGAATTGTCTATGCCTGCCTTGCTTCCTAAATAGTCCCGTCTGATTCTTGTTGGATATCTGAAATACTTTACCATTAATTTTCCTCCTGAAATTTGGCTTACGATTCTATTAATTAGATTACCAAGCTTCTTATAAGGATATCATAATCTATTTCCTCTCTTTTTCTTCTCTTCCCATGTCTTTATCTCCTTCAAACCTATTGCCTGTGACCTAGTCTCTGGGAAATATGAAATGGTTATAAATCTCTGCTTGATAAAGTGGGCTGGTTGTTTACACAATCCCATCTTTGAAATTTCATGAGATGTTGATAAACATCATCCAAATGATTTTTGCCCTTGTTCCTGTGTGTGTTGAATCTTGGATTGTGTAGGGAATTTGAGTGAATCTAGGGACTAGACTAGACTAGAGCAAAATGATGGTGTTTAAAGTAGGAGAGTTTCAGGAGGAAGTTGAGAAAATTGTGTAGGAAAACTATTTATTTGGGAGGATGTTTCAATTCAATTTTTGCACAGAATTATCAATGAGTTCTTCCAAAGGATCACATCCAAATTCACACAAGAATATTCCAAACTAGAGATGGTTAATGGGCTGAGAGAGAGGGAGGGGATACACTAAACCTTAATCAACAGAACCGACATTATTAATTTGTTGAAGAAAACTCAGCTTATCATTGCCATACCATTTTTTAATTGTCATATCACCTTATTGCAGTTTTTTATTTCTGAACTTTAAAAGTTAAACAGCCTCTTTTCTTCTTTCTCATAATTGTCGCAATGCCTCTCTTTAGGTCACCAACTACTATTTTTTTATTTTCCAAGTTTAAAGGTTAGAAAGGTCTTTTTGGTAACGTGTTTATGCATATCTTGCTTATCCTTTTTTAATAAAGAAAACAACCGCTTTTTGTTTTACATTTTTTTTTTGATAACTATTATTATTTCTTGTTCTCTAATTTTTTTTAAAGTTTAATATGTAAATTAATTTTTTAAATTAAATACCCAAGATTTTCTGTTATGTTTTATTTTTAATGTTTATTATAGTTAAGAATGATAAAATAATAATTTTATCTATATTTTGGAGAAAACTAGAAACGTGAATCGGAAATTGATTTCATTACTAAACGAGTCTTAAATTATTGATTTTTAATATTATCGTAACGTCTCTTAAATTATCAGACTCTCAAAATTTATAAACTAAGTTTCTTCTAATACATATGCCTGCTAGCTATTAAAAATCCTACTGCTACTAACATGAATGATGAAAGGACACTCCATCGTAATAGTCCACCTATTAAAAATCCTCGGTAAACGTGGAGGGTCGGGGATTTTGCCTTCGAAGCTTGAAGAAAATTTACCTTATGCTATTATCTCATTTATTTTTGCCAAGTCAAATCATTTAATAGTAGAGTCGCTTGGCTCTTTCCATGAAGTTAGAGATTCAAGCAGTGTCGTCAAAGAGAGGGAAGAGCTCTCCTTGCGACGACGGACGACGATGATTGACAGCACTGGTGGTAGATGGCAACAAGAAGATGAAGATATAAAAAGAAGAGAGGAATAAAAAATAACAAAATTATTTAAAAATTAATATTTTTGTACACCTCATTAAAAAAAATTAAAAAAACTCCAGTCATCAATTAATTGCCACGTCATTTTTTCGTTGGTTAGGGATAATTTAGAAAACTTTAGGAACCCGGACAAAACATTGGCTAAATGGATTTCATTCGCATGAGAGGGCTTCGGTCCAATCGAGGTGTCAAAGATCCTCATTTTAACCGTTCGCGACTTTCTTTCAGTTGCTGGGGGTTGCCCTCTGTTGGTGGACCACCCAAACAATGAATTTCAAAATAACTCCCTCCTTGTTGTTGCCAAAATGACAAAGAAAATATGTTATCGCTTATTAGAAGAATCGGGTGCATACTCTTATTTAGAGCGTTCCGAAATCTAAGAAAAGGACTAAATTAACACCTACTCAAAATCTCAGGACCAAAAATGTTCATTTTGAAATTTCATGAACCAAATTGACACCTACCCCAAGTAGGGACAAAAAATGTATTTTTCCCTATTTTTATATAGTACATTTTCTTTACTTCAACAATTATGGAGTGGAGTGAGGTGAAAGATCGAACAATCAACTCTAAAAATGACAATAGATGTCTTATCCGCTTAAATCATGCTCTAATTGACCTATAGTAATTCTCACTAAAAAAAGGCCTAAACTTATTTTTCATCTCTCAAGCTCAAGAGATTATTGCGGCTGAAATGACAAACACTTACCTAATTTACAATGTAAGTGAACAAAAACAAAAATACGATGAAGTAACAGAAACAAGTTTGCCTTCTCAATCGAGAACAACACTATGGATAACAAAGGACTCATTTGGTAATATTTTCGTTTCCTCTTTTTAAATAAAGAAAAATAAAATTTTATAGTCCCAACATTTCAAGAACGATAAAACAATGTTTTTAATTACGTTTTTGGAACACATTGAAAACGAAAACAATGAAACAAGAAAACTTTTTTTTGTTTTCTCCAAATTTTTTATACAATTTTGAGAACGTTTCTTAAAAAATGAGAAATAACATACATGAATAGTTGTCAAATACTTTAATCTCTTGATAAAATTACAAACGGAAACATTGCTGAAAGAGCCCAAAGTAATCCAACTTCCAATAAGATCCGTCCCAATCTCTAATAATTTATAACTGAAATCTTAAAAAGCTCATAAAAGATGAACAGAAAAATGAGAATGTGAAGACAGTGTATCTTCAAAATAATCAAAATAACATTATACTCTTGTGGTGAATAAGGTGCAAAACAATCTTGAGTTAATTTAGTTTTTTTATACTTTTTTGGTATGTGTAGGCTATACCAATATGAAGCATGGCACTCTCAGCCAAGAACAATTACAAGTTAAAGGCCATAGAGTATAATTATTTTCACCTGATGAGATTGAAATGTTGCTGTCTAGCAATTTTAGATTATAGTTGAGAGTTGTCGAGCTCTTGAAAAATTCTGCTCAGCTGGTTGGGTTGGATTGGGTTTGAAAACCTTGCATTCAAATTTCAAACAAGCAAAATCATATTCATGAATATGTATGAATTTCAGGATAAAAAAAAACTATTTAACAAACAAAAAGCATTAAGGAACTCACTAATTGTGCTTTCCATCATGGAACTGGGCATTTTTTGAAGACTTGAAAGTTTCTAAGAACTGCTTGGCCTTCTGCAGTTCTTGCTTCTGTCTTGTCTTGTCCCAATTGTGTTCAGATGCCAATATCTCAATTACTCGAGGCAATGCGTGGTTGGCAGCGTCCGTATCGAGGAAAGCGAGCCGTGATCTTCTGGCAATGAAATCGACTGCACATTCACAGTACTCATGCCGAGCACAGTATGCAACCTCAGCCTCCAAGAAGGGGTAGCCATGGGCCAATCGCTTCCCCAAACTCTCATTCTGTGGTGAAAAAGAATTTGAGTTAGTCCTAAAAGTTTTATCAAACAAACTAGACTTAAAAAAGCCCCTAAAAGCTAAAAGGAAAAATCTTATAGAATGGATATGACAAATCTCGTACTAAGCTATTGAAATTGACTTTGCTTTGGGTTCACTGCCGATCTCCCCTTCCTCTAAATAGGTTATTTGAATTAAACAGTTACTTCAAAAAATGACTAAACGTCTGAATTTTCCTGAAATTACCTTTGCAGACTTCACTCACAATGCTGCCTATGTAAATTTTAAAGATTCAACTAATCTGTTTCTCCAAGATTTTGTTTTGAGACAACCAAAAATTTTAATTGAATTGGTGAGAAGTTACAAAAAAAATCCAATTCTCGACTTATCTTCAAGATTCATTGCATTTCTTTGCACCACACTTCCCACAAGACACTCGTAATCACGCATGACCAAATCGCTCTGAGGCTAGGATTGAAGACAGAAAATAGCTGGTTTTACAAAGAATACACCAGCTTGAGGAAGAGAGAACATAAGGTTCCTTTTTAAACCATGTCTGCAGTATTCAATCCTCCTTTAGCAGCCAGACAAAAGTTTACCTTTTTGGGCACTTTCTTCCTCCAAAAATCTTTAAAAACTGATTCAAGGAAACACCACCACCACCGCCGCCGCCACCGCCGCCGCCGTTTCCTTCAGTGTTAATGAAGGAGAATAAAGATGCAGTCCGAAGAGGCCATCTGAATCCAACTCCACGATGTCTTACCCCTTTGGTCAGAACTGAACGCTTTCAAGAAGATGAGAAAGCTTAATCCACTTGAAAGTTCTAGATACCAACCATTAGCAGTCAAATTCAAGCAAAATCCTTGACCAATAAAGATTCAGAATGCCGAAGTTTCTCCTTTACGGTAGTGATTTTGGCCACCAATCTGACCAGAAAGAGATTGAGGATCCATTACCAACTTTAATCTTCCACACTTAATTCTCTCTCTAGATTGGCAATAGAGTTCCTAGTACTGGCCATTTGATGCCTATAGCTTTTATAGTAAACACAGCCATCCTTGCCCAATCAATACTTGTAACAAGGAGTTCCTCCAAATGGAGTCTATTTCCTAAGAGAAACACCACAACATTTTGGAGGCTAAAGCCACATTACTACTTCTGAGATTGCCCGATCCGAGAATTAATGGTGCCAACTGCCAACCACTTATTTATGTAGCATATATAACCACTATTCCTATGACAGATTCACAGACTAATGCCTATTTAACCCTAATATGACCATCCTATCAGCATACAGAATGAAGGGTGGTCAAAATTAGATTTCTTAAATATTCTCTTTAGAGGCATAAGGAATAAAAGCTATAAAAAGAAGTTAGCAATGGTATAGGGGAGAAACACAAACCTGGGCTATGGCAGCCACTCTTTCAGCTGAAACACCATATGCTTGAGATAAATGTCTTGCAGCTGCAGTGTCCATAACTCCGGGGACAACACTACCCTTATGAGTCTTTTTCATACGTATATATTGTTGAGCTAGGACAGTAAAAAATGCAGGCTCCCATCCATCTCCACCAACAAGCCGTAGCTTGTCAGTTACACATGCATTTGTTGGCTTCAGCTTCCCAGACTTTATAGCAGCACTAACAGCATCTTCTGCCATACTGAAACCAAGAAAACATGGTCTAATTAAGACAAGAAGATAAAAAGTGTCAAAACATGTAAGGTGTAAGGCTTACTAAGAAGTCATAATCTGCCAGCCTACACAGCAAGACAATATTGAAGACATTAACCAGATATTGATATGACAACTTCGTTAAGGATACAACAAATTGAATACTTGCTACATGCATTAAGATTTCCATTTCAATCATTGACAATTCTCAATCGTGTAGACCAGATATTTCATCACAGCCAAGATAATAGTACCTCCGATAAGTAGTCCATTTCCCACCAGTAATTGTGACCAATCCGGGATAATCTTCACAAACAACATGATCTCTTGAAATGCTCTCTGTACTTTTTGCCGATGGATCTATAGCCAAAGGACGAATACCACTCCAAGCTGAGAGAACATCTGTTCGCCGCACCTAAATTTTGGAGAGGAATTAAGTCCCTTGAAGAAGATCAGATCAGAATGAGGAAGGAAAGAGACATAATTTTCTATCTAGCACAAGTAAAGCTAACTAAAACGATAAAAAACTACTTTTCAGGGGCCATGGAGGACATAGATATTGAAATATATGCATAATCCATCAGTTATCCATCGGACACAATCCCAACCCAACATATATAATCCCTTTCACTGATCAACATCTGAATGAGGTAACTATTAGCTCCAAGCATCCCATGACAGAACAGTAAAACAAACAATACTCTGGAGTCATCTTTTAACTTATTCTCCACGTACAAACTTCGTAAAAGATAGCCAACCTTTACTTTTCTGCCACACAAATACTAGATGTAAGGAACCCGGAGAAAATTTTAGCTGACTAGGTGAAAGAGGAAACTTACAAAATTAAACTGTGCTAAAATGCAACCCTCTTGTAATCAGCAGAGCTAAAGCATATAACTCAAACTTAATACATGCTTTACCATAAAAAGTAAGGAATCAACAGAAAACTCTCTTCTGCCATTTGAAATTAATAGTGTATACCTTGAAAAGTTTTTTAAAATTTTTCTTTCTAAATGTCATTTTTTGCTACTAATTTCAATTGTGAGTACTTATCAACCATGGTTATAGACACATATTACAGAAGCAATGTGGCAAGTGGCTGATGGATTCTACATCAATGTAATTAAGGATGGGCGTAGTTAGACTGATTAGATAAGAAAAGAAACGATAAACCAAATGAACAAAAAAGATAAATTTTAAGTTCTAGCATTCACCTAAAACCCGCCTTCTAAAGGACAAGAGTTTTGAGCTTCAATGTTGTTATTACAAAGCAGGAAACAAATCGTGCATAAAATTTATGGATCCAAAGCACAAAAATGAATGCAGATAAATACACGGACATCAGTAAGTTCAACCATCTCAAAAATTCTCTCAACTGTTTCAAATTTTAACACGCCTAGTCATACAATAAAAAGTATATTGAAAAAGAAAAAAATATTTAAATTTTGCACAAGAAAGTATAAAGAAACAGGTGTTAATGATAAGTCAAATACCTTTTTTTTGGTAAGAACAATAAAACCACATACCTTTACGTTGAGGTAATCAGAGATTGCATCCAGTATAAACTGAATTTCATCCTCATGTGGCTCAGGAAGCATAGTGATGCTGGTGTTGGAATCCGTGGTTCCAGCAACTGTTCGTCCTAACCATGGCAGCATAAAAACAACACGGCCGTCCTTAGTCTTGGGAACAATGAGACCCATTCCCTCGGGAGAATAATAATCAGGGAGAACTATATGGACACCACTACTGGGACAGATCATAGAGACTGCCTCTTTATCAGCCATCTTTCTCACAGAGTCACAAAATGGCCCAGCGGCATTGACAATTACCTTTGCGTAGGTATCAAACTCTCTACCTGGTACACATGGATAGTTAGTGAGGATCAGAGAAATAAAAGGAATATATTAAGTTTAGAATTTTACTGGACACTCCATTGCTTGTTTTTTTTATGTAATTTAAACTAGCATCTACTGTCATTTATGCCAAATACAAAACCATGTAACATCTAGATTCATCTTCCAACAGGAGGTTATTGCAGTGATCTAAAATCAGTATAGCAAGTTGATTGGCAAAAGTATCCTTCACATAAGTATCCAACAGGAGAATTTTTCCTTGCCTTCTGTTCTCAACTGAAACATTACTTTTAAAAAAAAAAAAAAATCAAAACCTTCAACAGTAGTCGCCACAAAGCAAAAGAAATCAAGTTAGAAGGTGGGTGGCGAAAGGCTTTTTTTTTTAGAAAGAGAGAGATTAAACCCTCAAAATTATAATTCCAGCAAAACTGAAAGCATCCACACGAACTGCCCTGCAAAAATCTAACAGAACTAAAAAGAAAAAAGTCTTCCAAAGCAACTCAATTTAAATATAAAAGATAGTGTTCCATGTAATTAGCACCTGACAACTTGTCACGAATCCTCGCACCAATAATTCGATCACTATCCTCGTCTTTCAAAAATCCCACAACTTCAGCATAGTTAAGCACCGCCGCACCAGCCAGAGCGGCAGTACAAGCCAGACCCACATTGACCCGCGAGTCATTCATCTGGCCATCGTAATACACCACGGTGCCTTTCAAACTTCTGCCCTGACCGTTCCTAGCGAGTGTAGGGAAGAGCTCCACAGATTCTTGCGCAGAATAGTACCGAGACAAGTGCAAGAGGCGACGCCCTGAAACTAAATCGTACATCTTCAACCCAATCCAAAAGTAGATAACCTCGAACCAATCAAAACAGGGCGTCATGCACGGCAACGTATGGCATAGGTGTGGTGCATTCTCAATAAACTGCTTTCGCTCCTCAAGCGCATGAAAGACCAGTTTAAGCTGCTTATAATCCAAATTGAACACTGCTTTCTCCAAATACCGCACACCTGATAATGAAATACGAGGCAATTTAGCGTCCATGAACACGAAACGGAATAAAACTTAATGTTGTTGATTATTCAATCAATTCGTATGCAGAACTAAAACAATTAAATCGAAATAAAATTATCAGATTGAGTAGCAGAATTTCACCGTATACTTCATAAAACGGCGAAGAAACAAAATTGGACATCTGAAAAAGGTTACAAAGATTATTCGACAAATGTACGACGACAGAATTTTCAAATTCTTCAAATTCTCCGTACCTCCATGAATGAGCTTCGTCGAACGCGAAGACGTGCCGGACGCGAAATCCTCGCGCTCAACGAGGCCAACGCGAAGTCCTCGTGTGACGGCATCGAGAGCGACACCGCAACCGGTAGCGCCTCCGCCGACGACGAGAATGTCAAGAGGATTGACAGGGCTGGCTCCAATCAAAGCTGACTCCTGGACTGATCGCGGCGGAACAACGGCAGTCGGATCGTTGATCTTGTTTCTGTAGGACTCGAGCGCGTGACCACTGGCACCGCGGTCATTGGAGGAGAGGGAAGGCTGAAGCAGGATAGAACCGCCGGCAGCGGTGGCGACGGCGGCGACGGCGAGCCTACTCAGCCGCGTGGCGGTGGACATGAGGGCGGAGCGGGAAGGAAGGTGCTGATGTCGTGATGCGAGAGAATCACAGAGGATTTATGAAAATAAAATAAAATAAAATCAATAAAAAGACCACGAGAAACGATTACTAATTTTAATTAAATAAATAAATATATATATATATATATGTAATAAAATAATATTACACAGAATTATTTTAGTTATTTTTAAATTTTTATGGAGAAGTCGCGTTGGAAATTGAAAATTGAAATTCTATCCGGATATCTTTAAGAGGAAAAGGCTTGGTCATCCGATCCAATAATATGTGAACATTTTTTCATTTTTTGGTTTTTAATTATTTTATGAAAATTAATATCTCATTAAATATCTTACAGTTCTTTTTTTTTTTCATAAACTTTTGGACGCTTTTTTCCCTTTTATTTATTCTCACCTCCCTTTTTATCAATCTTTTTCTTCATTTCTTTTCTCTCTCTTTTAGTTAATTTGTCTTTTTTTTTTCACTGCATCTTTTTTTTCTTCTAAATTTACTGTATTTTTATTCAAAATTACTATATAATTTATTTTCCAAATTTAGTGTATTTTTTAATATGAATTTACTATACCTTTTTAACACCATGTTTCAAAAATAATAACTTTTCCTCTTTGTTATAATATTTTTTTTCATTATTCTCCTTGTAACAAACAAAATTCAACGTTTCACCGTCTAAAAGTACGATAACTCATGACTTTTTAGTCGAATATAAATGTCTTAATTAGTTGAACTAAGCTATTTTGACATATATATACGTATAAGTCTCACATGCAAGCATATTTTAAAAAAATTTAATAAATATATATTTTAGTGTCTAATATTTTGTAGTTTTTTCAATTTAGTTTATAGGGTTAGAAAAGTTTTGGTTTAGTCCCAGTTGATGAATTCTTAAATAATTTTAAAGGAGATAGATGTAACAAGATAAAAGAAACTTAAAATTTCTACTAGTTTCTTACAAATTCTTTAGAATGAATTAGAATCTTTCGTATCTTAATAATTTTTTATCATCTAAAACTTTTATTTTCAGTATAACAAGTTGGTGTGAGGGATTCAAACTCATGACGTCTTGATCAAAGACGTCAATCGTTGAGTTAAATTTATGCTGAGTTTTTATCTTCTAAACTTTCACCGATTCACAAAATATCATGACAAACAGATTTACTATAAACTAATTTTAACATTTAAATTTATTATAAACTAACTTTAACATTCACTAACCAATTATTCAATCTTTTTATTATAAAAAAATATTGATTAACAATGAGGGCCTGAACTTAAAAACATTAAAACATACACGACTAAATCGAAATTATTAACATAAACTTAGCTCGGTGAATAATTCATATCTCGTTGTAGATTAAAGTCTATTAAAAATACGGAAAAAAAATATGGAAGATCCTTTGTCTTGTCCATGTCCGGTGTGAATAAAGTTATGGGCATGGACACCTCATCTGCACTGCACCCATTAGGCAAGTGGTGTTTAGGTAAATTCACAATATCATATATATTAATTTTAATTTTAAATTTTTTGACAGGCTATATTAATTATTAAAAGAACCGAAAAAAGAAAAAAAAAAAAAAAGAAGAAGAAGAATAAGCAAGCTCAACTTCGGAGGTCTATGGGAAGAAAGGAGCTCGTGATCCGGCGACGGCAGTTGCACGTGACCGGCGGCGGCCACTGAAACAAGGAACTCCGGGATGCACGTGACTTTTCCTCTCCATATTATTTGGATTTTCCAAAATTGAATTACAAGGAAAAAGGGGAAATTAATAATAAATATATGGTCTAATATTATTTTGATTGTGTAATCTCTAACTTTGTTTATATCAAAGTTTTAGTCATTGTATTGTATTTCTTACTTTTTGGACATTTATTTTCATCTTTATCTCATTTATTATTATTATAATTTTAATATGACATTTCACTTATTAAATAAGATGTAGTCATAAATTTGTATTAACAGATTTTCATTGTCTATAAGATAAATAGAGGTCAAAAGTATATAAATTAAAAGAGACATTTTGATATCAGGAAAAAAAAAACCAAAATAATTGCAAGGTTGACATGGTCATATTCTAAAAAATAACAATAAAGAAGAAGCCTGGAATCACAACAATAAAGAGATGTTTGTTGTTTTTTTTTAATAGAAAAATAAGAACCTAAAGTTTTATGGAACTTTTATATTTGAAAAATATGTACTTCCGAAGACTCTTCCTTTTTATCTATTTATTTATTCACAAAGGTATTTTAAAAGCCTCACTGGATAATCCCATCCACGTAGGGTTGCGTGCCACCATTTTTATTTTTATTTTTTCTAAATTTTACTTTTAATATTAATTTTTATCCTTCTTCTTCTAATCCCATATCAGGCTCTCAAAATCAAATTTAATGCTGAATTTCAAAATTTTCAAATTTGAATAAGCAATAAATGCTGTTTCTCGTGAGATGGATTACTTTTAACCTTTTTTAATTATGAGGTAAACTATATACTATGAACTTTGAATTATGTTTAATAAGTTTCTATCATTTCAAAGATTAAATCTAATAGATTCGTGATTTTTAAAAGTATCTAATAAGTTCTCCCACTTTTAATTTTGTGTCTAATAAGCTCTCCGCAAAGTCGTAAGACCGTGTATAGGGACTGACGCCTGCTCAGTGCCGGAAGATCTGCAAATCTATGTGTATTAAAAAATGCAGGTCAAATAAGCTTTGGGGGACAGGTTCCCCCGAGCCTCGCCCCCCATGTAATTTTTGTTTTTTTTGAAAAACATAAAGTATGTAATTGGTCATTGAACATTCGATTTTTTTTTTTTTTGTATATAATAAACCTTCTGATATTTTTTTCTTTCAAAATTTATGAATCTATTTGACATAAAATTGAAATATGTGTCAATTTTATGTCTAAAAGAATTCTAAATTTTCAAATTTGTATTTAAGTGATTCGTAGATTTTAAAAAGCACTTAATAGATCATAAACTATTAGACACACAAATAAAATTCTTGAATTTATTAGACATAAAATTGAAAGCGAATCGAATCCACGACCTTTTGGTTGTCAATAACCATTGAGTTATGCTCACTTAAACACCTATTTAAATGCCCCTAGAAGTTTATTGAAATAATACATTAAAGTTCAAATAGCTTGTAATTAAATTTATATTACCAAAAGGTTACACTTTCATTTCGTTTTGTAGTTAGGATTGAGAATTTTTGTAGAATAACTCAAGACCATTCAAATGAATTTGCCTTTAGCATTATCTAGATTGAATTAATGCATTAATTGAGCCTTAGAAAATTTTCAAATTTAATTTTTAATGAACGGATCAAACTAAATATAAAAATAAATTCTCCACTTCTCCTTATATCTGAACCTTTTTTCATAATAAAAAAAATTACCTCTTACTGTCCAAATGTAAAAATATTGTTCAATAACCATCTGTGATTTTCGACCTTTATTAACTTAAAAAATAAAATTTATTAGTTGGTTTTCATTTTAGGGAAAAAAAGAGTAAGCAGTGTAAGATTTTAAAGACAGGTTTATACATGATTTTAGAAGATAACAAAAGTAATTTTGGTAATGACAAAAGTGATTTTGACCCTTTGAAACATACTCTAATGTTTGACAATGATTTACACATGGTTTTAGAGAAAAAGCGTGTTCAAAATCAGTGTATCTGTTGAATAATCTAGTAGAAAAGGGCAAAGAATGCACCAAAACACCAGAAAAAGAACCAAATTGCAATACATGATGCTTTATTTGATCCGTAAAATGTTTGCACTCCAACAGAAACCCATGTAAAAAGAAAAAAAAAATCTACCTTTTTTTCTAAGAATCCAGAGAAAATATAGTCTACAAATGCAGTTTATGGTTTAAAGGGGAATGAATCTTTCACCATTTGTTACACTTTAGATTGAATATCAACAAGTCAAAGCAAATAACAAAGCGAAAGACTGCAGGACTCACCACACTATACAGATCACATGGGAGCAAAGCGATTTCCTGTAAAATATGCTGCTGAGCTGATTAAATAATTAATGTCACAGCGGTTTTCAATCATGAGGAAGTTGGTCGTGGCAATCGCTTCGCAATTTCCTGCCAAATAAAGAAGAAACAGTTGATCCCACAATGCATTTGAATGAAAGATCAAAGTGGCCCCTATTGGGATGAGTGATATACATTTCTATAGAAGCTTTGGATAAAGAGGAAACAGCATCTCGATAAGTGAGCACGAAAACTACTGAACATCTTCACATAATTTGAGCAGTTAAATGTGTATCTCTAGGATTTTTCCTATTTGGGATATGATAGACGTATGCTATCTTATCAGAGATGGGAAGATATGCCAATGTATCTGAGGACTAGAGATTAATAAATAAACTTCCCAATTTCATAAAGTGTCTACTAAAAGCACGAATTAGAGAGAGGTGTGCAATAAAACATTCGCTGAAGACAATTTTGCAAGGAAAAGAAAGCAATCCAATCCAAAAAAACGACGGATCCGCGCAGAAATTGATATAACTTCATTCCGCAGGCCACAGTTATAAGGGTGGCATGGCATTGAGCAATCATGAAAAGATAGACCCACCAATAAAGACCTTGAGTTGTAAGAAGACAAGAACATTCTAACAGCAAACAACTTGATTTGACACCTCATGGAGTAGCATAACGTTAAGATACAACCACCAACAAAGAGCTGGGGTGAAAGAACGTTCCAACTTCACACTTGATGGAGTTCAACATAACCACCACCAATAAAGAATTCATTTCCTAAGGCTACCAACTATAATGAATATTATAAAGTTAACAGCCTATGACAATGTATTAAGCAGATTCTGAACTTCTAACTGCCAATTCTCGGCAGTATTCAATATCTTTCCCATTCGCATCCACTAGGAATATTCAATTGAAATTGTTTAATACCACTCTAACAACAGTGGAATATCATAAAAGTAGCATACACAATAATCTACCTTGTTTATAGACAGCAGCTATGAAAATCATACTAAAAGGATAAAATCAGGAATACCTCAAACAGCTCGTTTATATTATCTGCAGTCTTTGCAGAAGTTTCAATAAAGAACATTCCATTCTTCTCTGCATACTCAGTGCCATCCTTCAAAAGTGACACATAAGTATATCAGTGAATTATTTCCCCATTTGCAAAAAACAAAATAACATAAAAGGAGGATAAATAAAGAAGACAGAAGAAGAAGAATGCATTCGATTGAATAATACCGACTTTACCTCAACAGACACTTTCCTTTTCTCTTGAAGATCAGCTTTGTTACCGACCAATGCCAAAATAATATCAGGGCTGCCATGCTTTTGTAGCTCCTGTAAGTGCCCAATATGGATTGTGAAGATTTTGAACTAGTCAAAGGATGACCAACTCAAACTGAACTAGTCAAAGGATATACCATGCATGCAAACTAAAAAAAGAAGAAGAGAAATATTTTTCTTTTGCAAAATGAAGAGAAATCTTTTAGACTATTCACTTTATACCAGACATAAATATTTTTATTCAAACTGACAAAATATTGTCCAACTTGTTCATTTAAAATTCTCTTTCTTCCTCTCCGAACACAAAACCTGAGACATCTCAGATGGAAAAAGTTCCAACTTCCATACCCTTTCTATTGGAGACTGATTAACAACGAAGTCCCATAAAAAGAGAGGATTGCTTATCAAGCGGCAAAGATGTAACGAATTTCATCTACTAGGAAAAAGGAGTTAAAAAGGAGTGATAATCTTCAGGCCTCGGCACAAGGTTATCGAGCATCCTAATGAGCCAATATCAAAACCATATTGCCAGTATAAGCTACAAGGGAACAGATAGATAGGGAAATGTGATCATCAGATAATATATCCATGGAGATTGTTGCTCCATGCTTGAGGAGGCTCTTCACTATCCTCCGTTCAAGGACAAGGGTCGCTTTTTGTGGCAAGCGGGTGTCTTTGCTGTTCTTTGGGTTTTGTGGCTTGAAAGGAACCACATGAATCTTAGAAGGGTTGAGAGATCATGGGAGCAGGTGTGGGACCTTGTTAGGTTCAATGTGTCGGTTGTGTCCCTTTGGGCCTCGGTGTCCAAAGTGTTTCGTAATTACTCCTTAGACTTGATTTTGTTTGGTTGGAGCCCTCTTTTAATTTGGCTCCTTTTGTTGGGCTGGTTTTTTTTTTTAGGTATACCCCTTTGTATTCTTTCATTTCTCTCAATGAAAGCTCAACTTTTCATAAAAAGAAAAAAAAAAGATAATATATCCATGGATTAAAAAGAATTAGATTCTGTATCAAATTGGCCAGTACTGAGTGGCAATCTCAGCTAATGAAGAATTGCCTCCTAGGTTTTGCTTTGGTTACGCTCACGCATAATACCTATGGAATAAGATCATCACTAGTAAAAGGCCCAATGATGTTACAATTTGGAATTGAACAGATACAACAATCACAAGAAGTAAATATAGGACAAAAACTACTTTAATCATCACTTTAAAACATACCTTAACCCAATATTGTGCTTTAGCGAAGGAATCTTGGCTTGTTATATCATATACAATAACTGCAACTGCAGCACCTCGATAGTAAAGTGGAGCTAATGCAGCATACCTAAACCAAGAAAAATCAACAATGACAACACTCTTGCAACAAAAAGCTCTAGTGACTATGAAGCAAGCTAGAAAAAGACTGCCAATGAGATTAATGTAGCTCGCCAAGAAGTTAAAGACACGAGGAGTTTGAGGATATCTACTAGAGATTTAGATGATCCTACCTCTCTTGCCCAGCGGTGTCCCATATTTCAAACTTCACTGTTGTGGAATCTTGCAAAGCTATTGTTTGTGACAAGAATGATGCTCCAACAGTTACCTGAGTTTTCCAACGAACATTTATAACCAAAATATTGTAATTACTTTGGGAATGAAATGATAATAACACAAATTTACTTGTGTTAAGCATATATTTATAATAATTTCTGGACCGTAATACAATCCTGACCTTAGATGTTGGGTCAAACTGACCACGGACAAAGCGAAGAACAATACAGCTTTTACCAACACCAGAATCACCCAGCAGGACAAGCTGCATGGAGACAGAAAGAGAAGATGAAAAATAACTAATAAGAGACCATAGAAACTTTTATGCTTTCTCAGCAAGCGCTCAACCAGACATATTAGCATATCTTCAACTTTGAATATCATTAAATTTGATAACATCTTGATTATCAATTCCCCAACAAGGAAACCTTTGCTGCATCTTAGCCATCGTATGTTTGTCCTCTTACGGGAAAGAATTGAAAATCAACAAAATTTCCGCTTATCAGTCTAACAAAGAACTCACTTAAGGGGGTCTTATTCCTTTAACAATGAAAAAGAAAAGGAAAGAAAAGAAAAAAAATACATCATGAGCAAATATCAGCCGAACACTCAGTGAATAAAAACAAAAACCAGCTTTTTGTTGCTTCTCAAATACCTTGACGCGTAAATTCTTGGAATCATCTGCACTGTTCTCTGGATTAAGCCCACCCGATCGCCCAGAAGTCCCGTCTGTATAATAAAACCCCCAAAAAGATCAACCAAACTCGAAATACGCTGCCATCAGTAAAACTAAAAACTGAAGTAAATGACTTGAGGGAGAAAAAAAACCCACCAAACCCTAATGTCCCCGTTAAAAAATCAAAGAACCAGAACAACTCCATAATAAAAAACAAAGAACTGACCAAACAGTACCTCTTAAATTTTTCAATAAATCCTCTTAGATCAAACTTAGACAGAGAAATGAACCCGATAACCCTCAAGAACTGAAGCAACGAATTCGACAAAGGAAGATACCTGGGAGAGAGGAGGAGCAACCCATGGCGATCAAGGTCTGTAAAATAATCGATCCAAGTAATTAAGCTATTGATTGAACTTTCGTAGAGTCCACGCAGCAATTGGAGTATTCTGCAAAAGATGAAAGCTTGCGCCTCCGGGACTGGTTCGTTAATGGCTGTTAAAAACTTTTCCACAATATTTCACATTTCATCTTCCAATGAATCGCAGACAGAAACGACGTCGTCTACCAGAAAAATGATATATCGGATCCGAAACTCAAATAGATCCGAATCCGATACGCTGAGAAGAAGAGACGTCAACTGAGCCCAATAACGAAAGTGGGCCAATTGGGCCGGACTTCTATATAAGTGCTTTTTTAAATTAAAAATAAAAAATACCTCCAAAAACACAATAATATGCAAAATGAACCAACTTATCATGAGTGAAAGCCATTGTTTATCTTATGTTGCTTTAAGTTTGTAATATGCTATCCAATATGTTTTTCAAAACATTTTCTTCGACCGGGTGTTCTAAAATTATTTTCTCAAAAAACGTGAGTGGAGATTGCAAGATATATAGTTTCGTTGTGCCATTGGCATGTCCTGTTTTGAGTTGGCTAAATTGCTTGTGGACAGAAGCAATTGTTGTTCAATCGTTTCGTGAACCTCATCAAAATGCAATTGTTTTTAATATGAAAGACACCTCCCAAAAAGTAAAGAAAGTTGCGTAGAACTTAATATGATCGAGAACCATATATTTGATTCACAAAATATTCCTTTTAAGAATCCTTAACCACCCTCTTTTAACTTCATGTAGCACTGTAATAGCATCATCGAGAAAGAAGTAATTTTCTTTCTTTCTTTTTTGTTAAACACATCGTGGGGTGTGAGATTTGAATATCACCTCGCAGGAAAAGAGTAGGTTTATTGACTATCGAGCTATGTGATATGATTTTAAATAGTTAAGATATCTCTATCTCTTTTAAAGTATAATTGTTTCAAATCTCCACCCGTACCCGTATATATGGATACGATAAACTTTTTTGAAAAAAGAAATTAATCTCCTTTGCTTTGCCGACTGGATTGGGCTGTGGCCCACAAATTTGTCTTTTTCATCAGTTCCCAAGTTGGGCCCTCAATCTTAAACTACAAGGCCCAAGTACAGGGGAATGACAACTTTGTCACATAGTAGCACAGCTTCTAAAGTTTCAAATCATGAGTAGACTTAAGCCTCAAGAACTCTGTTTGAACACAAATATAAAGGCAAAGAAAGTTCTCTTTTTTTCTTTAAGTGGTATCCATAGAAAGTTTTTTGAGATCACATATAATTTGGTAGTTTTTGCTTTGGTTTTCAATGTTTTGATTGGAGATTCAAGCATGTCCATTTTAGATTAGTCATTTCTCTTTAAAACATCTATTCTTGTTTGTAGATAAGACTACTTTCAAATAGATAAGCTTATCTCAAGCTCATCTTGATAAAGCTCGTCTTGAAAAACATGTTTTAGAAGACAATGAGAGTTTTAGTTTGATAATGATTACGACCTTTAGTTTCTTGTTAGTCACGATTTAGATATACGGATGTCGATGTGTAACATTGTTTTTAACTCTCTCTAACTTAGGAAGCAACAATGTTTTGTCAACTTTAGCATGTCTTTGTCGAGAGTAATTTGTGGAATGAGCTTTTTATTCTACTGATCTTACATGAATAATGGGCTATCGATTGACAAGAAATGTATGCCTTGTTAGACCAATGAGACTTGAACTAATTCCCTCTCAATTCATCACAACCTCTTTGTACCAATGAGTCACTCATGATACCTATCAAATCAGAAAATTCGCAAAACTTATCGTGATTCCTAGTAGTAAATTTAAAGGAACACAATGCAACCCATTGATCTTATTTCTCACATGAAAGTTGAAAAAGTGAGGGGCCCATTTAGGGTTTTAAGCAACTAAGAGGGGATGATGATGATGTGTACATATATATTTGGAAATTTGTTGAGTAGACAATCCAAGTTGGCTTTGGGGGACAACTCCACCTGAAGGATAAGGGAGAAATGGGTCATGATGCATTGGCAACACACTTCCCCATCATAAGCTACCAATTTGGACAATCTTGCTTTTCTAGTTTCTATCTTGTTTGATTGCAATCCTCAAATCTTTTCATAACCCAATCTTCTAACTGTGTGCTTTGGTGGTGGGAACCCTAATTAATTGAAATCAAACTCTTTGGGAATTAATCATTGAACCCTCCCTTTGCAACTTTTTTTTTAAAAAAAATGATCTCATTGAGATCAATTTGGATAGCCCTATCTCTTCTTTTTAATTCATTATTGTATCTTAGTTTCAAAGTGTGACAGAAAGACTTTTCCAAAGTATGTAAAACTATTCTTGATTTTTTTGTAGATTGGGATTGATGATGTATGTGCTTTGTGGTCCATAATAATCTTGATTCTTTGAATATTTATTCTTGATTCCATTCCTTTGGGTTAAATTTATTGGGTGGAATTTTGTTGACTTTTTCTTTTTAAATATCGAGATTTTTCTTTCTTCCCGTGGAAAGAAAAAGTTAGGAACAAAACAGATCTTCACAGTAGTATGGTATTGTTGTCATCTTATCTATAGCCAATGTGGAACATTGGTTGCAGTATCATCTTATTTTAGTCTAAATATTTTTATACTTGTTATTAATTGTCAAATTTTTATATCTCCTATCTCATTAACGAAACTGATCTCCATGGACTTAAAAAGAATATTTGATCTACTCAATATGAGCATAACTCAGCAGTCAAAACATTTATCCTTTCTCTTATATTTTTGTTCTACCGAAAAAAGAATCTATCCATATGGGCTAGTTAGTTACCTCTCAAATCCAAAATATTTTTCCTTTTACTACCTTTCATCTTTAATGTCATCAATTTGCTTTTCTTTGCCAAATTCGATTCATGTGAATAATAATGTCAGTTTAAAATCGCGAACGATTATCTCCCTAAAGAATCACACGATGTATGGAACAAGTTGGTTAAAAAAGGGAAGAGAAGGAAAGGAGGAGAGTGTTTTCTCCCACATTTTATGGTTAGAGAAAAGAAATGAAAACCCACATAGAAAAAGTTAGGGCAAAGGAGGGAAAAGGAAGTGTGGACAAAAGTGGAACTATTAAAAGAAATGGTTGGAAGGCCAAACAGAGACAAAATGTTGAATGAAAGAGAGAGCATAGCATTCCATTGCCATGCATTATTTCTTTTTCTTCTTTGCAAAAAGATTGAATTTCTAAGGGAAGAGAGAGAGATGTGTTTGATTAGACCAACCCACTTTCTAGGGAACATTACTCTTGTAAACCTTGGGAAACAAGTGGGCCCTCACTTTTCATCGTAATTCAATCATTTTGTTAAGTTGTATATTTTCCAAAAAATATTGAAGGTTTGAATCTTCGTTGTTGTATTGCTTTAATTTAGTCTCTATTGTTTAAGAGTTTCATTTTAATCCCTTATATTTCAACTCAGTCCCTCATTGTTAGTGAATCTTAAAATTGGAGGGTTGGTAAACTTGTACGGTATAATGTCCCTGATTAAAATAAAACCTTTTAAACAATAGAAACTAATTAAATTAGCAAAACACTCAAGCAAGAACTATATACCATTTTTAATATATGTGAGTACCTGGATCAATTTATATGTATTTCGATTAATGTCATCAAATTAACTTTACAATTGAGTTGATGATAAAATTATTAGAGTTTAATATCCTAAGCAGGTAGTCACCACCGAATTTTAACTTGGTTCGAAGTTTCTTTTACTTTTTCGGTCCCATATCAGTACTTGTGTGTGTGTGTTTTTTTTAAACATCTTTTGATTTTTTAGTTCATTGTTTTCTGGTTTCATGGATCTTTTAAAAGCGTGGATATCTTAGCCTACAAACCAGATTTGCGGACTTTTTTCTTTTTTTTTTTTGGGGACCGTAGCCTAAAATTTAGGGCTGACTTTAGAAACTTAAAAAGTACAAATATTAAATACAACTACTAGAAAAAAAATACAAGGATTAAAATGATATTTTAAATATATTTATGGACAAAAGTTTTGACTTTGTAATAAAATAATAAAATTTTATTATATACTATTTTGATCGTTGTATCCTTCGAGCGTCTATTTTAGTCTATATATCTTTAACTTTGGTTTATTTTAGTTTTTATACTTTCAAAACATTTGGTTTGGTTTGTACGTTAAAAAAATGACTATTTTAACTTTTTCATTTTTTTAGGATCAAAATTTTAGTAAAATATTTCACTCGCTAAATTTTTTAAAAAGGTAACTTCCTATTAAAAGATTTCAATTTGAATTAAAATTTTGCCCATAAAGACGAAAGGATAAATTTTGTTTAAATTGCAAGACGAGTAGATATGGATAAAAATAATCAAAAGTTAAAAATACAATGACAAAAAACATAGATAAAAAATAATATTTAAACCAAAAGAAATACATATTTGGGCCTTGAAACGGGCGGTGGGCCCAAGAGAGGTACAGGGAAATGGGCTTATGGCGGTCCAATCCGAGTTTTTCTGGGGATGATGTCGTACGATTCGATGCCTCGCTCGCTATTCCAAAGATTCTTCTTGTCGGTTCACATTATTATTTTATTCATTCATTTATTCATTATTAATAATAAATAATTCAAGTTATAAATTATTAAAATTTATTGACAATTTTTTCCCTTGAAACGCCTCATATTTAATAACTATGGTAAAAATACAGCTTCTCTCATGATTTCTCTCCTAGAAATTTCAAGGCAAAATTGAAATAGGTAGGTTAAAATTAAGACATGGAATTAATATATAATCAATCCATCCAGATCAAAATTACAGGGATAATATAGTAATTGATCGAATATAATTAAAATCCCCAAAATTTTCTCCTAATTTGGAACAATAATACTAAAATATAAAATAATAATGGTTTATAAATATAAGTATATACACCAAAAAAAAAAAGAAAGAAAGAAAAAAGAGGGAGAAGATTTAAGGGTCGGCGTAGTAATGCCAGCAGACGAGCATGACGACACATCGGCGGAGGATGTAAAATCTAGCCCTCTGTTCCTTCACTAGCAAACTGCAGCGTTGCTTAAACGACGCCGTTCTTCTCCTCCTGCTGCTGCACAGCCTTCTTCGTTCTTCCATCATTTTTATTTTACGATCTCAATTCTCAAAAACCAAAGAAT